CCTCGATTTTTGTTGAAGCGTATAAATAAAAATAAAAATAAAAACTCAACAGAAAAGTCTTTTCAGGACCCTTACCCTTACCTCCAAAGAGGAGGAATAATTTTAAAATTAGCTTCCTTCGCATTTTGAATTTACTATAATCCTCGAAGACTTTTTTTTGCCTTTGATTTTATGGGGTTCTCAGTTGTCTTCGTTTGCTGTTACATTCACAGAAAACTAAATGTCGCAATCACTCGCCCTTTTCCCAGATTTTCCATGAGATTCTAACGCCGAAAACCCTTCGGAAGCCATGAGAAAATCATCGTACGCTTTTTTTTTCTCGTTAGAAATCCCTCCAGAGCATCAATTACTTCTTTCCCTTGATCATTTTTCGATCAACAGGATGTATGAATGATCTCAAAAAATAAAAATAGACACGCATCATAGGATTGTAATGCTTCTTATGCGATTTCTAAGACTTCCAAGAAACCCCTGATATGACGCCGTAAGAAAAAAATATATAAGCAGAAATTTTGCAGAGGGGGGAGAAATGGGGGGCGATCGTCGCCTCAAGATATAGGAAGAGAACCTGTGCGCTGGGAAATCGGGTCACAGCTGAGAGAACCCCGACGCGTAAGGAGGAAGCGGGGAGTGAAACAACAGGGGAATCTTCGACACCATGAAAAAAAGAGAAACCCACGGAGGGGGTTTTTCTGGGCGAGGAAAGAAAGCCACCTATCTAGCTGAAAAAAAAGGTGCTGAGGAACGCAATCCTCGTCGTCACTGATCATCATCTCTTTTTTTATTTTTCACTCATAACCGCACGGACATCTGACAAGGATCCTCCCGATCGATCCTTTTTTCCCCCCGACACGAAGCGGCTCTCAGTCCTGGTGGCCACTTTCCAGAGGATCTCAAGACAAATAAAAGTGACGGAATCTATCCACACTTGGTAGTTCTCTATTTTTAGTTAAATATCAACAAACTACCTTCTTTTCTCCTAGTCTTTCTTTTGATTTTCTGACGGATTCAATTGCTGTATAAAAAACGTCGAAACCCAACCGCGTGGAAAAAAAAGGGGAAAACTTCGATAGGTAATTCGATAACAGTTACAGTGAGACCCCCACATGCGGACACCTCGACCTGCGGACAATTCGACATAGGACACTTATTTTCCCAGAAACAAAAATCATAAAAAAGGCCCAACATGAGGACACTGACTCGACATAAGGACATTTTGTGATAAAATTGCAAATGCATTTCAGGACAAATTACAAGAAACAGATATTTTCAACCCTGAAATTGATGTAAGAGAAGTTCTTTGGCACTTCTCTCACCAAATTACCATCCATATTTAGCTAATTTAAAAAATTAGCTCCAGCATAGAGGGACTTCTACTTCTTTTTCACTTGAACGTTATTTTTGTAGATTTATTTTAAAGTCACATGTCATATCATGTCTCTATGCGATACGTTCCGAGGTTTACAAGAATAACTCAATAACTTTTTCATAAGTGACTAAGTTTAAGTTCACCGTTTGTTAAAAAAAGTCCCTTAAGACAAGAATATTTCTTCCATAAAACACCAATTGAAAATTATATTAATGTAAGTCTATGGGAAAACAAGACTCAACTTGGGGACATTTCAACTTGGGGACACTCTTGATGCACCAATTACGTCCACATCTTGGGGTCTCACTGTATTTACTAGTATGGGTCTGAAAAATTTATCTGATTGGATTCCTTGTTCTTATTGCTGGTTTATATCAAATGAGTATACTCCTCAATAATTCCTATGAAAGAATAGTGAGCATATTTCTTGCATTTGACAGGATGAACAACAATAACAACTTCTTATTCCTTCAAGCAGTTGGTAAGCAATGCGTGTGTTATATGTATCTTACCACTTATCGAAATATCTGAAACGACATGTTTTAACCCTTTCTGACCAGTCTACACCTAGACTGGAACAAAACGTCTGAAAACGTATTTAACCGTGTCACGAACTGAACCGTGTGCACCTCATTAAGGACTAGAAAATAGGAAACATGCAACTGCTTCAAGTGTTTCTGCTAACAAGAAGGAATGAAAGGATTTTAATGATATTATACAGTGATGAAAAAAAAAAGAATAGAAAAAACTCCAGTTACAACTTCTGCTGACTTGCTGAACAACCCCTTTTCAGTGTTCATTTCTTTTTTTTCCTAGCAAAAAAACAAGTTCCAGAAATTTTATAAAATGGGAACAACAGTCAAACCTTTTCAAGTTGAATTTCAAGGGACCAGGAAAAAATCTTAATTTGGGGAACGAGCATTTATAGTGGGAAGAAATACATTTTGGAATTGGTGATATTCTGGGGCATAAATTGCTTCTTTTAAAGTATTTGACAGAAGCGTCTTGAACGTCTGTTCCCAGGTAAACGGAGTTAATCAGAGAATGAAAGAGAATTTTACGTAACAATGTGAACATGTCATAATGAAGAGAAACGACTCAGTAATTTTGTTATCGGTTCTCAGTAAGAGAAAATTAAAGTTCTGGAGATTTTTCATGCATTGTTCCTTGTGAAATTCAGACATGAACCTCTGTATGTCAAATTTGTTCCAACTGTTTTTTTTTTTAAATATAATTTTCATTTTTGCATTTTTGTTAATTATGCATTTAGCTCGGAATGACTTATTTGCCCCAATTGGGATTTTCATGTACAGCGTTACCAATTAAAAAGATAAATTGAAATGGAAATCTATTCTCATCTTGGAAATAATTTTCATGTAGAAATAGAGGTCGAAATTTTTTTTCTGGATACCGTGTATTTATGATGGATGACATGGGTGGTTGGACAAGCATGGCGCCATGGTTTCAGTGGTTCCTTATAATTTAGTTTAGTTGAAGGAGGGCTTCAATCAAGCCCCTTTTCCGGGTTTAGAAAAACCAAAGAACCCATGAATTCCTTATGAGGAAGGCTTTGGGCTATATAATGAAGACAGAGGAATTCCCTGATTGCCTGAGGACTAGAAAGGAATGTGCACTCTATACAGTATATATAAATGCCCTTTTGGGGCCATGAAAATGAAATAATGTTGGGTTTTTAAAATAATTTATGTGCATAGTTTTTCTGTCCAGAAAGGAAAGAATGATGGAGAAGAAAAACAGAATTACGTTGCAGTGAATAAATTCCTGTCTGGCTGCTTGCTTAGTATTTTTTTATTGTTGTTGCAGCACAGAAAAAAATTTTTTTTTTCAAAGTTAAAATATTGAGAAAATTTTCATGCCCTCAAATGTTTCTGGATAAGTCATTTGATTGACAAAAAATTGTTGCCTGATGCTGAATTTCTTACTCCTAAAGAACCATCATTAAATTAAAAAAGGAAAAATGGTTCCTGAAGAATTGAAATAATAAAAAAAATTCCTGCTCAATTTATCAGATGGAAAAGAATAATAAACTTGTACATTATTCCACATGGGATGTATTTTGAGATGACTTCAGTTCAAGTAGTAACCTTTCAGTGTGTTTTAACTTAAGTGACTATAGATTCCACTTATCTGCTAGTTAATAAATGTTCATCATGTGACAACCTTAAAGAAATATACCTAACATTATTATGAATGATGTAGAATGTATGAGAAGATGCATGAGTTTTCCTTCTGGTCACCAATATTTTTTAAAGGCAAATAATTTATGTGCAGTATTCTGTTGAGTAAAAGCTTGTGGCATTTTTCCCTTGTGTTTTTTCTCTCTTCTGTTTAAACTGCTATTTTATTTATTTTAATATTATGTGCTCATTTTCACCTTGCAGTGTATCAACTCAGTAAGCAGAAGAACCCTGAATGAAGTCCTTCTGTCTGGTGAGTATTTTGCATCATAACATATTCATCATTGGGATTTTTCTCATTGTCAAATATTTATTAAATGACAATAGTTTGAGATACATTTTTCCCAAAATTATTCCGAGTCTATATTGGCAGTAAGTTCCTTACATTCAAGTTGAAATGAACTCATATCAAATTAACTTTGAAAGGAAGAAGAATTTCTTTCTAGGGATCTCAAATCTTCTCTGGATGCATCTTGACTGAGTTTTACTGCAAGTGATTTTCTGATGCATGTCTTATTCATATTTTATTGTTGCAAAATACTTTATTAGAAAATGTGGTCATATTCTTGTTAAAATTTAGTGTAGGTTGATTATTTGGGACAGACTTCCTTTGGGCCAGCAACAGGCCCCTGTAAATCAGTTCAGAAAATCTTCAATAGCTGAGCAGGCTGATGTAGTTTTTCTTACAAAGATCTGATCATGTTTTTATAATTTTAAAAATCTAATTCAGCTCAGTCCATTATTTAAAAAGGCTGTTGCTTTATCCTTGGTGGTACTGGGTAAGTAATTGACTTATTGATGATTTACAGAGGCTGAAAAGTACCCAAATGTGAGCGTCAAGTTCCACCAGAAGCTAACTGGAGGCAATTTAGAGGCTGGTGAAGCCACTTTTGTCAAGTAAGTGTATCTCTTGATTCCAGTAAGTCAAATATCTGGTTTTACAAAGTTATTGCCAAGTATAAACAAGGGGGAACAAGGGGGGTTGGTTGTAACTGATACAGATCCTAGATTCACCATCAGAATAAAAAAAACCAGAGTCATTTAGATTCAGATCAGACCTGGTTGTAAAATAGGAAGAAAAGGAAAAAAAAACATGGCAGAGTACTGATTGGAAACTGGTTTGTTGACCAATGTTGACAAGTGCTCTCTTGAATTGATTTCCCATCAGTACTGAGACTGGTGAGCAGATTAAGGAGAAGGCAGATCTGATTGTGGGCTGTGATGGGGCTTATTCAATGGTCAGGAGGATGATGATGAAGAGGCCACTCTTTGACTTTTCTCAAGAGTACATTGAACATGGGTATCTTGAGCTCTACATTCCTCCAACTGAAAAGGCCAAGGTATTATTGTTGTTTCTATATATATATATATTTCAATATCCTGGACAGAGGAAAGATTTTTGAATAATGTCTTGCTCAACAAAGTTTGTTAGTGATTCATAAGAATAGATCCAACTGAAAAGGCCAAGGTATTATTGTTGTTTCTATATATATATATATTTCAATATCCTGGACAGAGGAAAGATTTTTGAATAATGTCTTGCTCAACAAAGTTTGTTAGTGATTCATAAGAATAGTCAGAGAATCCCCAGGAAAACTGTATGAATAGTTACAAAATTTGATTTTTCTATTATAATTTCTCAGATTGAAGTTTGATGATGTTTCAGAACTGTAAAGTCATTTACAGTATGTTGCAATCAATCTCTTTTATAACCACAAGCTAACTGAGAGTTTGCTTGAACGCTTTGATGAAAATGACATTATGACATAACAAAATGATGTATTTATGTGTTTTGACAAGCAAGTTATTGTGTGTTATATTGAAAATTAGTGTACTGTCTTCCAGGTAATGATTTATTATAAAGCTTCTAAATTGATGCTTCAAAAGTCCAGAAGCATTAAATGCCAAAATTACCAGAAAGTCTCCATTGGGAAAGTTCTTTTTGGGATTGTGTAGTTTTTTTTTTGTCAAGACATTCTTTTGGATTTTAATTTTTTTATTGTGTGTTTTCCATATTTTTAGAAGTTTATGGAGTTGAACTACTTGCACATATGGCCAAGAAAGCGCTACATGATGATAGCATTGCCCAACTTTGACCAGTCTTGGACTGTTACACTTTTCATGCCTCTGGATGTGTTTGAAAATCTAAATTGTCCAGACAACTTGATAGAGTTTTTCAAGGACAATTTCCCTGATGCCATGGAGCTGATTGGTGAAGAAAGTCTCATCAAGAGCTTCTTTAGGACAAAGCCCTCCAATTTGCTGTGTGTAAAGGTGAGAGAGAGAGAGAGAGANAGACTGGTGAGCAGATTAAGGAGAAGGCAGATCTGATTGTGGGCTGTGATGGGGCTTATTCAATGGTCAGGAGGATGATGATGAAGAGGCCACTCTTTGACTTTTCTCAAGAGTACATTGAACATGGGTATCTTGAGCTCTACATTCCTCCAACTGAAAAGGCCAAGGTATTATTGTTGTTTCTATATATATATATATTTCAATATCCTGGACAGAGGAAAGATTTTTGAATAATGTCTTGCTCAACAAAGTTTGTTAGTGATTCATAAGAATAGGCAGAGAATCCCCAGGAAAGCTATGAATATAGTTGGAAAATTTGATTTTTCTATTATAATTTCTCAGACTGAAGTTTGTGAGATTGATAATTTAAAGATTTCCATGATGTTTCAGAACTGTAAAATCATATACAGTATGTTGCAATCAATCTCTTTTATAACTACAAGCTATCTGAGAGTTTGCTTGAAAGCTTTGATGAAAAGCTTCAGTTAATGTGTTTTGACAAGTATAAGTTATTGTGTGTTACATTAAAAATTATTGTACTCTCCTCCAGGTAAGCTATTTTCTAAATTGATGTTTCAAAAGTTCAGAAGCATTAAATGCCAAAATTACCAGAAAGTCTCCATTGGGAAAGTTCTTGTTGAAATTGTGTAGTTTTTTTTTGTCAAGACATTTTTTTGGATTTTAATTTCTTTATTGTGTGTTTTCCATATTTTTAGAAGTTCTACCTCAACTTGATGAACGTGTATACCGGTTCTTTCGCGATGTACTACTATCGTAACGGGTTGAAACTGGTCAGAACCTGACAATGTGAAAAGTACGGAGACCTACACAAACTTTTAGATTTAACAGCAGACAACTTGATAGAGTTTTTCAAGGACAATTTCCCTGATGCCATGGAGCTGATTGGTGAAGAAAGTCTCATCAAGAGCTTCTTTAGGACAAAGCCCTCCAATTTGCTGTGTGTAAAGGTGAGAGAGAGAGAGAGAGAGGTGGTTTTTGTTGGCAACATTGCTTTTAATTTGGATTTCAAAATAATGTACTCCACTTTTGTTTTGGGTTGTATTTATTAGTGCAAGCCGTACCATGTAGGGGACAAAACTGTCATCCTTGGGGATGCTGCACATGCCATGGTGCCTTTCTATGGACAGGGAATGAATTGTGTGAGTTGATGCTGAAACTACAATACTTGATTCAATTGAGTGGCAAGAAATTTTGCTAAACTATGAATTCACAATAATACCAAATAAAAATTCTATAGCTAAATTTTCCATTTATAAAAAAATGTGCAGGTTCAAGTTGTTTCAGACCAGAGTTACCAAACCTTTTTCTACCAGCAAATTTGAAAAAAAATTGAGGACTGGCATATTTCCAAAAAATGTTCTGCAGTCTTGCAATGTTTCATGAACTTTTTGCTGACTCACAAAATGTTTGTTTGAAAAACTTTATGCGAGGAATTTAAAAAGTTTCTTCTTTTTCCAAAAATTAATTCAAGAATCTGTGAAACAGCTTTAGTGGAATGCCTTCATATTTAAGTTTTCCACCCGAACTTTCCAAAGAACCTTACTTTTTAATTTTATTATTAGAGACGTCCACTTTTAAACATTCGGTTAGAAGTAAACAGTAGTTTATTAAAATTGACGGTAACAGAAAGATAATTTCAGATAAAGATAATATTCTACTTTTGATAATTTTATTATGCTGAAGAAAATTTCCTGCAGTCAGGCAAAGAAAGTGTTCAGACTGGTGCCAGTCTATTGACCACAGGTTGGGAAACACTGATTTAGGCAATTAAATTGATCATCCTATGACAAATACAAGTATGAAACTTAGATATTCTCAATTTGAAAATGTTCTTTTGGGCTTTGAGTTTGATGAGCACTCAATTTTTTAGACTTTGAATTTGAGGAAAAAATGTGCCCATGGTACTTTATTCAATATGATCAGTTTTTGAAGTGAATTGTATATGTAAAAAATGACACTTCTCCATTCAGGGCATGGAAGATTGCATAATTTTGGATGACCTGATGACCAAGTTCAATGAGGACCTCAGCCAAGTGCTTCCCAGTTACACTGAGTTCAGGCATCCAGATGCTGTGGCTATTTGTGACTTGGCATTGTACAACTATGTGGAGGTGAGTTTGGTCAATTTATTTGAAGCATATAATGATTTATTGAATGGCATTTGGTTGATGATTATAGATGAGGGACTTGGTCAACTCAAAGACCTTCCTGCTGAGGAAGAAGGTGGACTCTGTGCTGAACTACCTCTTCCCAACCAAGTGGGTTCCTTTGTACAGCACAGTCACTTTCTCCAGGGAAAGGTACCACAGGTGCATTCAAAACAAACAATGGCAGGATAAGGTGAGCAATGAACCATCAACCCTTGATTGACAAACTTTATTGGTTCCAGGAAAAGTTTGAATGCCTTTTCACCATGGATTTCAACAATGAAGAAGCAGGTGGTCCTGCAAACAATTGAAATGGTCAATAATGGATGATCCCTTAGTTGATTGAGCTGCCTGGATTTCTCTCTCAAAAGCTCTGCAACACAGAAGCTTCATTTTTTAATGAATGTTGAAGAAAATTTGCAAAATGAGAACTGTTTGTCAGCAAGTTTGTTTCTGAATGGCTTTAAGGAGCTCAGTTCAAGCATATGATCATAATTGGTATGTCACAGGAGACCAAGATCAAATATAATTTTGATCTTGACTGAATCAGCAATAGAACTTGAGAAAGGCAAGGATGCCAGGAATAAAGCCAACATTTGCATTTCACTTCAAAAAGTTAATTCTTTGCAAACACATTGTAATCTAAATTTTACTTTTCAGCTTAATTTTGGTTTGTAAACTGTGGAATTCTTATTTAAGAAAAAATGTGAGCTCAACAAATTTTTATTTGTTAACAAAATTAGTTCACTGTGCATACTTTCTATATTTTTCTTCTATGTACAAATAGGTTCTCAAGAGGGTGCTGTATGGACTTGCAATGTTCACAGTAGTGATGGCATCTTTGCCTCTCATGTGGAGCACTCCTTGAGTTCAAAAAAAAAATGGCCCAAGCTGTTTGAGCAGTTGACAATGAGATCCTCAACTTCTCTGCTGTTGCTTGTTCCCAAAATGGCTGGTGGAAGATTCCTGCTGCTTGATAACGCTTCAAAAATGGGATTGAAATCATTTTGTCCTGCATGAGGAATTTCTATTTCCAATCAATGGTGACACAAATAAATAATGGTTCATGTGGAATATATCAAATGCTTTCTTTTTGTTGGTGTTCATCAATAAAATTGCAGGTGTTCAGCCAGAACTGCGGGAACATGGCTGTTGAACATATTCCAGGCAGAAGCCCCTGTTGTTTGTACTGCCCAGTTCAGTCCCATCAGTTCTATAATAAACTGCAAATGGTTTCCTGGAACCTGTTTTGAAAATATAAGAAAAGATTTTTTTTTTCAAAAAATTAAGCACAAATACAAAGATGCAATATTGCAGCCTTCCAACAAGTTACGTTGAGCAGTTGGAAGATAAATCATTCCTGGAGGGTGTGGGTTTGAGTGGGATGAGATTCACAATCAGCTGATCTGAACAATAAATATTACTGAATGTGATTGATGCAGAAATCATGCTCATGCTGTAGAATCTTGTCACTGTACAAGAGGAATCTCTTAATCATCACAACAAAGCTATCTTAGGCCCATGCCCAAAGAGCCACATGGAAATGTTCAAAGATTTCCTTCATGGTGAATTTTTCACTAAAACAAAGCTATACAATGCATTAAGCTAAAATTATTGTTTTTTTAAACAAGAATCACAAAATTTGTAACTGTAAGCAGCACTTAATTGGAAAATCTGAAATTCTGGATGACAATAAGGAACTGGGAAGAATGTGCATATGAGAGCAACTGCTGTTAATTACAGGCATACCATCCCTATTATCATTTGCATAATTTGTAACTGATTAGTTGAAATAGCAATACTGTATAATTTATATGAGTGACATTTAACCGTGTCGTTCTAAAACGGGTCTGTGTCCCAAGTTCCGTCAGGGTGTCTTGGACAGACCTGTTTTCCAGGGACAGACTCACAAGACCTGTAGTTTACGGACTGACGTGCCACATGGGATGGTGACCCAGTCTTTGTCCTGCTGTGTGGCACAAGCATCTGAAATCTGAGAACTGAGACCAGCTCCTGCTGCAGAGTTGCCAGTCACTGAAAAGCTCTGTGATGGTGTGTTTGCTGAAAAATGAATTCCAAAAGGGTTCCTAATTAGCAAAAAACTTAACCATATAGTCATATAATCTGAACATTCAAAATGGTATTGCAGTCACATTTTTTCTCTTCCAAACATTTTAAACTTCTCCTTTCATAACAGTTAATGTAATGTTTACTGGAATGCTCTCAATTTCCTCACTGAACACTTCTGATTTGTTGAAGAAAATCTTTTGAGATACTTTATGACAGGCCAGCAGCATGTGCCAAAGATTTTATTATACAATTTGATGAACAATTTAAATGTCTAATGGGTTGTCTAACCTCACACAATTGACCCTCCTGAATCTAAGCCTAAACTTGTTTGAACAAAATTATCCTGAAAGGATGGCTGTCAAGTTTTCTTATACAAAATATGGTTACCAATCTTCATACCATTATCAGTGCATTGAGTGTATCTGATTCCACAGAACCCTGCCTCCATCCTGATGCAAAAGGAGTAGTCCTGATTGGCCAGTTGCTGTCCTTGAGCATTGTCATAGTTGAAGGTGTAGAAGCGACCAGAAATCCCAGTGAAGTATTGCAAACATCCACTAGTTGCTAAATGTATTCCATGAAAAATTGCATATATTGAAACACTTGTATTTTGGCATGAATAAGAATATGGGTCACCTCACCTGCCCAAGAGGATTCACACTTGATTTGGGTGATCTTTATTTTCCAAGCTCTACTGGTCAATGATGCTGTCAAAGAGCTGGTGACCACAGTCAAAACTGTGGCTTGGTTCAAGTTGCTCACATCCAGGTACACTGTTGAGCAGCAGAGTAAAAAGTTATTGCCAGAGTATTTTAAACAGAATAAGTGATGGGGCACCTGTGATTAACAAATCATTTGGAAGGTGTTGACCAAGAAACTTGTATACTTGCCACAAGGATTTCTCCCCTCAGTTAAAATTGTCTTTCTTTTCCTTAAAAAAAAGATGTTGTTTTGCACCTGCAGCTGTTTCCTGTTTCTGTTTCTTTATGTTGACATCATCACCAACAATAAATGCATCATGCTTTTCTTTGAGTCAAGCATATACATTCTTACAGATATTTCTCAGGAAGCCTTGTAATCAATTTAGCCAGACTCCCTTTTTTCTGAACTATCTGTGTTTATAGTAGTTCAAGAAAATACTTGAAATATATTATTCAATATTTTTTGTACAAAGCTGTATATTTTTTATTGGCAAAAAGGTATATATGAAACATGTCCTGTTCTAATATTTGCATTAATGTTCAATTAACTGATGATTGAAACATATTTGATCACAGAGAAAGACATTCCACATAAGAACATAATCAAAAGAGCAACCCTTTCTTTCTCAATACAATTAAATGGGGTCTTTCATCTAATAAAGAGTTGCTGATCTGTTTAATTTTTCCAGCAATAGAACCAATAATCTTGAAAAATTGATCCAAACCTCCTCATTAGTAACTGTTTTCAAACTGTCAATAGTTGAAAACAGAAAATTAAATTTGAAGCAATAAAAAATTTAAAAAAAAACATTGTCCTTGAGCAGCACTTTTGGAAGCCTAAAATTTGGTTCTTATAAAATGTATGAACACAGAAATTCAAAACATGAATATACAACTCATCCATTGTGCACATAGTTCATACTGACACTGCTTCTTGGGAATGGTTTATCAGAAGGTATTTCTATATAGTCACTGACTGTGTTGTCCAGTGTTTTTCCCACAAATGACAGGACTTGAAGTGCCTCCTGAAGCTGTGACAAGGAACTGGTCATTCAAACACTGGCCCACTGTGTTGGGTGAATTGGTCTGGTCATTGCTGGGGCCTCCAATTTGGAACTGCAAAAAGTCCAACCTTTGATGGGGACAATGAGTAAGAAAATAAGTTAAGGCAACCCCGAACTGCTGACAATAATTATTGATAGTTTTTTCAATACCTGATTTGACAGATGTCTGGTCCACATTTGTTGATGGCCAGTTGACAAGAGCCTGGAGTAGTCACTGTACCAGGGTATCCTTGGTTCACAAAGTAGGTACAGTTGGCTGATGAGTTCTGTCCACATGTCTTGATGACTATATGTATATGAGTAAATAATAAAGCACAGTATATAAAAGGTTCATTTCATAAATACAAATGTAATATAAAAATGATGGACTGAGTAAATATACTCACAAATGCAGCAGACTCCAAAATTGCCTGCACAACTGCTGCCCAAGGCACCTCCAAGCCTCACACACTCATTGGCAGTGTAGCAGGTCCCATTGTCTCCTGTGTCACTTGTGCAAGAGGTGTTATTGAACCTCACCACAGTGAACAAATTCAAAACTGAAACACAAAATGGAGTGCATGCATTATTTTCACCTCAATTATTTGTCCAGGAATACAAAAAAAAGACAAAAGCGTCACTTTTGAAGAATTTAAGTCCGAATGACTATATTTTTTACATGTGTTCATGACCTTTTTCAAATCATTCCAATGGTTTTATTCTAGTGACTTAATATCAAATGTTGTAGACCTTTTTCATGGATACATATTTGGAAAATTATGCTCTCACACTTCTGCCTTGATACAGCAAAATCTGATTACAAGTAACTGTTGCTGCTGGTGGCTTCAGAAAAGTTTGTTTTACTGAATGATTTGCTCTAACAAGGTTAATGACTCAAAAATATTCACAACAGACCTGTCTATAATCAATTAGATCTTGCTTTTCTTGCATTCTTAGGTTCTTATTATTGCTAAAAAAAAAACTGAGTGAACATCTGAAAAAAAACAATACAGCTTCAATCATGCATTCCATCAGTTGCTCCACTTGAGATTGCAAATTTCAGACTTCTGCCTTCTTTTTAATCAGGAAATTTCTTGAACAGTCTTTAAAGAAAATACTAAAATTGGGAAGTTTGTTAAAATGAGGTTGTTTTAAGAAGTACAGTATAATCTATGGACTTTCTGATGGTACTTGAGGAAACAGTTTTTTATGCTGTAAATGTTATAGTAATGATATTCGTTGTAACAAGATTTCACTGTATTAAAAAAAATCCATTACTCTCTGATCTTCAAATAAACTGGCCTATTTATCTCTTTCATCACAGAATTCAAACTTGATTAAAATTTTCTCTTCAAGATAAAGGTATACTTTCATTAAATCAGCAAAATTAATAAAAATAATTATTAATAAGACAATATTTTTGTTCTCTGCTCACATCTTGCTTCTCTTTGTGCTTCAGTTTCCTCTACTGCAGCTTCCTTATTCTTTGAATAACTGGGCTTGTTGAATAAACTGGTCAGCCTTTGCCTCCAACTAGTTGTGGGCAGCCATCTTGAGGATGGTGAAGAAGCATCTTTTGGTGTCCTTGAGTCTCCATGAAAAGATTGAAGCAGGGATTCATCATCATTCTGCTGATGCTTTATTGATGAAGCATCTCGGGATGATCCCAATGACGACAACACTGATTTCAAGGAAATCACTTGGCACAAAACCACGGAAAATAATATTAAATCAAGGCACCCGCGATGATGAAACATCATATTTGACAACTCATTTATTATTGCTCCTTATGTTTCGAGAGAGCTGCGAGTTTCTTTGAAAGCAGCAGGAGACGGACTGAATGAAGGTGCACTCATGAAAGCATGTGCAGTTCACGGTCTCATTGTCGCAGATTTCAATTTGAAATCTTTCTGGGGCGATGAAAGTGAGGAAGGGAAATACGTTGCGGATGAGGAGAATTGTGGAGCACTCGATTATTGCAAGCTGAGGTGTGGCAAGCATGGCAGCTGTGAGGCGGTGGTCTGCTGACTTTCTATATACTTTTGACCTGGTTCACCCAACCTTGGAAAGACTCAATTAATTGCTTTATGACTGCTAATAATTTGAGGGCTCTGGTCAGGAAATATATTCACTTCTCTGGAGTCAGTCACTTGTATATTGTCACTATCATATGCAGGGATGAATTAAGTCAGTAAATTGTTGAGTTCTTTTAAAAACCTAGTTTCACTTTAGAATTCCAATCTTTTTCTTACTGATATTCTCTTGAATTCCTTTTTTATATAGCAGATATTTTGAAATCTGTTTTAAAACAATTCACCAGCTGTAGTTAAATTACATATATTCTCAGTCAAAGTTAATTTTTTTTCTTGGTTGTGCCTCGTGAACGCTGAAAAGCAGCAAATAAAGTGTTCTGTTCATTCATTCATTTTCAAGTTAATTTTAATGCATAGGTTTTCAAAATTGCTTTGGTTGAGCAATCTGGAACCAGCAGAAATAGAATTGGAGTAACTTTTTTGGATCACCTCATTTAAGAAAATAAAATTCAAATTTTCCAAGGTTTACAAAGCACATGTAAGCTGGTTTCTTCTGGCTTTGGAAAATGTCAAATATTCAAAGGGGCCAACTCAAAATAATAGTACTGTACTGTATGTCATTAGTGCCTTATGGGAATCTTTGAAGGTGATGATACAGAAAGAAAAAATTAGTAGATTAAAAAATTAATCTAAAAAACCACGTTTTCAAAAAGCAAAAAATAACCTTAAACATGGTGCGCATCTATTCCATTTGTATTTAAAAGATTGCATTGTCATCAGTTTCTAGGCTATCCTGGAAGTTTCAGCTTGATAGCTAGTCGGGAAGTGAGTGAAATTCGAGTTTCAAAATGTGATCCGGACAAACAGACAAGAAAGTGAGTTCATAAAAACATGGTAAAAAAACACAATAAATAAGGTGATGAGAGACAGAAAATGTTATTCTCGGATGATTGAAAATACTTTGAACAAGATGAGTCTTTCACAATAACTTGTTAGTCAAAATATTGCAACAACTTTTGCATCATTTAATCAGTGAGACATCAAACAGCAGCAATAACCACTTCCTTGCAGAAGTCAGGAAGTTTTTGTGAACATATTATAGCTATCTTTCCTGACCTTGTCATAGTTATGATCAGCTTTATTTCACCTCTTCTACATCTTTCAACATAAAGTCTTCCCCATTTCTTCTTTCTCATAATAATATTGTCAATGCGGGACTTCAATCTGAAGATCTCTGTATAATGAAATCTTCAGTCTTTGACTTCAAGTGCATTTTCATCTTTGCAGCACTGCTTGTTGAAGAACATTTCAGAAGAGCAAGTGGACATTGAGGTGGTTGCATAAATGTCCTTGTCATTCAGAAGCTCAATCTTCTCTTTCCAACACCTCCATTTATTCTGGAAGAAAAATTAAAAAATGAATGCTGATCTTCTATAAGAGTACATCATTTGAGGATATTATCAGGCAAGGGACTGAAAAAATATTTTTCTGGCTTGTCAAACTCTGAACAGTAAGTAAATTGTCAACCTTATGGGTTCATTTGCACCTAGAAAAGTATATTACTGTATTTGAATGATATGTTCCAAAATGAATTACTCAACTAAAATTATTACTTTTATGAAATTTTGAAACAGCTGCAAATTTAAAAAAATTTAGTAGATTAAAAAATTAATCTAAAAAACCACGTTTTGAAAAAGACAAACAAATGGACAAGAAAGCGAGTTAATAAAAACGTGTTAAAAAAAATGAATGCTGATCTTCTATAAGAGTACATCATTTGAGGATATCATCAGGCAAGGGACTGAACAAATATGTTTCTGCTTGTCGAACTCTGAACAATAAGTTAATTGTCAAATTTATGGGGACATTTGCACATAGAAAAGTATATTACTGTATTTGAATATGTTCCATAATGAATTACTCAACTAAAATTATAACTTTTATGAAATTTTAAAACAGCTGCAAATTTAAAATAAAAATTGGTCTCCCAACAGAAATACATGAGGACATCATCAACAGAGGGAAAGATTCACATGGATTTGACCTGCTGACAAAGGGTTTGCCTAAATAAAAAGCTCAACAATTATATAAATTTATCAAGGTGTCTCTGTATGTGCAGCAGTACACTTGATGCTGGCCTCAAATTTAAATTTTTAAAAATATGGGTTATAGTACAGCATTTAGTCCTGATTCAGTATACCTGTCTGTCCCTGTCAGCCAGTTCCATCAGAACCCCTGCAGCCCCACCAGGTCTATTACACCTCCTCACAGGAATGGGGAATTTGACCCTCAGGGTACTCTGCCTCTTGGAGTAGACAGATATGTGCAAGAGTCTGAGAGGCACAAATCTAACCCTACTCAGAGGCTCAGTTTCTGGGTCTACATTTAAAAGCACCTTCTGATGCCTCTGCTGCAGCAGCTGCTGCTGGAGATGCAAGGCTGCATCACTGGAATGCATGACTTCCTGGGCCATGACCAGGGACTTTAGGCCAAGGCCAATGCGCCAGTGCTGCCTGCCTCTGCCATGCTTTGTCACCTGTTTCACACATTTGACACACTCAAAAATTGCATTGAAAGTTATGGAACACACTATTTGTGAGAGAATGGACTTTTATATACAGTACCTCTGAAAAACTGCTTTCCAATAGGATGATCTCATCCTGGTCATCAATGCACCCATCCCTACAGTTCTCATCCACAAATCTCCTCAATCTTGACTCAATCATCATCAGCGCTGGCCTTTTGTGAGTGCTTATAGGGGTATATAGAATGTTATTGACAATTATAAGAAAGAGAAAGAAAGGCTTATGAAGGTAAGCACAGGTACAGAAGAAAAAAGCAGAAGTTAACCTAACATGAACTGGTACTTCATTGCACAGGAGTGCTCTGTTTGAATATTTTCCCTTTAGTGGAAAGTGTGGTTCAATAGCAGAAAAGTTTGGATTCATATTAAAAAATACACAGTGAAAATTTAAATGTATTTCTTCCCATAGACTGCTTCAACAAGAAATTTCTAAAATCTGTGTGGAGTGTAAAACACTTATCAATTTAGTTTTTGAAATCATAACACCTCTGGCCTATGCAGAAAATGTTACGAACTTTTAATGTGCACCACATATAACTGAGTAAAGCAGCATAAACCCTGGAAAAAGACTTGTACCCTACTTTTACTTTTTTTTCCTCAAAACTGTAGAGAAAAATGTTACCTTGTAATTTCAGACACCAAAAATCAAATGAAAAAAATACATGCAGTGAAAATTAATTACACAAGCCCATTAAGAGGTCAAATCCTATTTGGATGTTTTTATATCATGACCATCATTGGATTATTAAAGAAAGAAAAAATTCTACAAATGGGGGACGAATTCACTAATTTCTCTCACAAATTTGTAACCAACTACTATACTGTACATTACTATATGATGCGCCCTCTTTTTGCCAGAGTTTCTTGTCAAAAAAGGGGCACAGGGTATTCATCCAAGTATAGCATCATTTTTCTATATACTGCATTTCTTGTTTGGAATGAAGTACTGTATTTGATTATTTTGGCATTGACATATACATAGTCACTTTGCCCACATATTCAGTGTACTGTACTTCAGTTTAATGCCTTTCTGATGATCAGAATCTCCCATATTGTTTATCCACCAAAGAAGCCATTTAAATGTTCATCCTTGCATTTACATAATCTGACCCATTCTTCTATGAAAATTTGTGAAGAAAATAAACCAATTCCTCTCAATAGCATGCATAAAAAAACCCCTTTTCATCCCAAAAATTGCAATTTCCCAAATTCCAACAGGACCAAAATGAAAAATAAAATTGAAACGCACTTGGATTTTGATTTTCAATCGAGACTTGTTCCATTCCAATCACCAGGTTAATCAAGATACGCAGAAGCGGCAACCGAGAATTTCTCCCTGGCTTCATCAAGGTCCACCTGAACCTGAGGCACTTGAGAGCTCACAGAATGCAGGAACTTGACGCTCTTTCTCACTTTACCACAGTAATCAGCAGCAGCATTCACATACTTGCACACGGGTCCGCCTTGCACCAAACCAGCAATCGAAGAAGTCGCCTTCAGACCTGCCCAAAAAAAAAACAAAAAACAAAACAAAAAATTCCTTTAATTTTAAGATAAGAAAAAATACCACTCACACGAGAGTTGCAACAAATATTCTCAGACTAGTAATTAAAAGAAAAACAAGTATTGTTCAGAAAAAAATGCAGCACTGTCCGACATATTTTTCAGAAAAAATGTTTTCAAAAGTGAAAAGTCGAGTTGGCAACTTTTTGCTGTTCACTCAAAAGAGGCATCTCGCTGATTATTTTTGTGAACCCCTGATTTCCCTTCAGAATTATTGAAATTGACAAAGCACTAATGTCAAGGGTTGCCGCCACTATAATTGATTATTATGAATTCCCCCCATTTTCATCAACAGCCGCCACTGGTGATGAGAAGTTGGTGGCTGTTGATGAAAATGGTGGAATTACTGTACTTTGAAAGACCTGGCGGCAACCCTTGAAGTCAACACCATTTCAATTTAAAGAATTCTGAAGGAGAACCGGGGTTACACCAAAAAATCTGCGAGATATGGGCCCCTAATTTTTTGAGTGAAGATCAGCAGAAAGCTGCCAGGGTTTTATTTTATTTTGCGACCAAAAAAAAAAAAAGACGGTCTTTTTTCTTGTGCCACAGCATGTTTTTTTTTCCTTCTTTTTCAGCTCAATCAAATGATGCCACTTTACTTTTACTTATCCCGCCGAGAACTTCCGTCAAGACACCCACCTGATGAAGATGGCACAGCAAAAGCCTGCATGACGCCTTCGGCAGGAAACGCAGCAGACACGAGCAGCGGCTTTTGCAGCATCAACAACCTCGCGTCCCCCTGGGCTGGAACCCCAAGCAACCCCCGCAGCCACTCATCAGGGTCAGCAAAAGGCGCAGCTCCCAGCCCCAGCGTCACCAAGTACGAATTCCTCATCATCACCTGTCCCTCGCAATGAATATTCCCAAACACGTCCGGCAACGCAGTGTCTTCAACAGCTTCCACCAGCAATTCTCCAAACATCGAGGAACCACTGATTTTACCAGGAAGCCGGAAACAAGGGGCAACCAGAGGACCCACACGAGTCTTGCATTGCACCAACGCGTCACCCAGGGTGACTGGCTCGCCCAGGCGACATCTGTCGGGCGACAGCAGGGTTTCGAGAAAGTGGGCGTTGTTGTTGGGACTGCTGCTGTTGCAGAATGGGATCACTCCGGAAGACGTTTCCAGGATGCCAGCCATTGTGAGAGCAGCAGTGAGTCTCGCATTCACTGCCCCGAAAACGTCCTTGGGATCGCAGGGCGTGTGCAAGAGAAACACAGGGATTGTCTTGCCTGGCCCGAATTCGTCCCGCAGGAAGTTGGTGACTGGACAGGTGAGGCCAGCCAGGCCCGTTGTCATGTCCACTGTAACTTGGATGCCCTGATGGGGGGAAAAGGGAAAAGGAGCGAAATTCAAACGACATCTATGCTACGACGAGTAAGATGAAGTGAGAAATGTCAGACAGATGTCGCTCGAATCAACTGAAGCGTGAACACGAAGCGCAACGAAGTTCAAGCATGACAGAGCTTGTCACTTGAATTATTATTTTTTCACTCTCTTGAGCCCAGGCCAGGCTAATGATTTGAAGCGAAACTTGACAAAGATTTCAAGAAACAAAGGAGGGACTGAATTGTATGCACAGTACAGTACTCACGTCCAGAGACTCGCATTCCTCAGCAAGAAACCTAAGACTATCTTCCAAGGCATCCTTGAACTGCTCACTTTCCCACACATCAACTCCTTTCTCAAAGCTGTTCTGGAAATCTTCTGGAAAACCTTCCACTTGTATCAAAGATTTCTCTGGCAAGGGGAACAGTGCATCCTTTGCCCAGCCACTTCCAATAACATCTGTAACACAATTCAATAATGCACTAAAACAATTGATTGATTTTTGATAATTATATTACAGTTTAACCTCTATAAGAAGAATACCAGGAAAAAAATTTGAGTTTGGTAAAAGCATTTTTGCTGGGCAAAAGAATAAAAGGAAATTGTATTTAATGATATTGTAGGTCTGAAATTGTTTGAAGTGAGCTGCAAGGATCCTGAAATTGGGGGCATAGGTATTTTTTTGGCTCAAACAATATTTCAATTCCTTTCAGAATGCATCAAGTTACATTTGTTGCTTTTCTCTTTGCTGTGTCAAGAGAATAATAGCCAAAAGGCTTCCAAAAATTTGAGTCATGGAAGTTTTGACAAGGAAAGCCTTAAAGTTGGGAAGATTTTTAATGCATCATTTCCAAAGGAATTCAGACAGGGACCTTAAAAAAAATCGAGAAATAGGAGGGTTTGGAGTTATCAAGGTCCAACTGTATTACATTTTAAAATTACACACTGTAACATAATACTGTAACCTCAGGAATGTGACAGACTGGCAAATCTTACCAGGTTCGCTGGCGTGAACTGTAACAGCTCCAGTCCAATGAGACATTGGCTCATTTTGGTCAGAATCTGAGGTTTTTTCTATGCGGGGTGGATATCCTATGTTCTCTTTCAAATCGACCATAACTGCTCTGGGCAACTTGCCAAAATCTTTACTTTCCCTCAATAAAATCTTGTCTTCATCCCATGGATCCTTCTCATCTCCAGCCTCATCCTTCTGCCTCCTTTGCAGCTAAAAAAGGAAAATTCCATAACAATTTCGCGTAATCAAATTAATAGACTGGACAAGACATTTTTGGATAGTGGAATGCTGAGAAGCTGACTTTGGGCTCAAATATAAAAGCAAATAATGAGTTCTCCTGAATTAAATTCATTCAATACATTACAATGGAGTAAACATGGTCATTTGAACAACAACAAAAAACTATACAACTTAAAACAGAAAATGTTGCCAAAATTGCACATCAATTTCTATTAATCTCCAAGAAAGCATTGAAACCATCCTCAATTCTTGAAACATCACATCTCAGCCCTTTCTCTGCAAAACACCAACTTGAACATAGTTCCCAACATTACAGACAACTTTCAGACCAGCACTAAATTCTGGAAACAGGCAGATTAAGATGAAATGGATATTTCTCTTCATTCTCCAAAAGTTCTGGCATCTTCACCATTACATAAAAGATTAACCATTGTATTCCTCTGCAATTTTTTTTACTAAAATTAAAACTACAGATGAAAAATATCTGAAAACAGACTGAACACATTGTGTTTTCATTTGCGCTGTGTTTTTGTCATTCTTGCAAAATGATGGTGATTTTTAATTATCCTTATGTAATGTGATGAAGTTCCTTTAAATATTTATGCAGACTATTATTTTGATGGTCGATTAATGGTTTAGAAAATGGTGGAAAATTTTGAGCCTGGTGAATACTAACAAGCAGCAAATAAAGCCTGTACCTCACTCATGAAAGATGAAAAATAAATAAAATCAAGTTTTAAAGAACTGAATCGAAGCCCAAAGTTGGGTTCACAGCAACCAAAAAGAAATAAGAGAGATTTTAAAATGAATTGCAAAAAAGGGCCTCACCAGGGAATTAAACCAAGCAACACCCGCTTCATTGGCCGACTTCCCCAGCTGCAAACTGATGATTTCTTTCCCACGGACCATGATTTTGTTTTAGGATGTTAAGGAATCGAGGGAAACCTGAATTTCTTCCAGGGTTTTGTGGAATTCCGACAACTGCTGGTGGTTGAATTCTACAGCAAAGCTTCCCGTCTCTGAGGGTTCCTTCAGAGTGAATATGAAAGTGGAGGCAGGAATTGCCACTGATTTCTGCTTTGAGGTCGCAGTGGTGATTGATAAGCTGTGAGAGACGGATTCCACCTTTAAAAAAAAGTTTTCAAAAACATCATTAATCATTTCTTAAACACAAATTGCTTTTAGATACAGCACTCCAGATCACTTCCCTTCAGATTATAGATATGGCAAAACATTTACTCAAAATATTACAGTTGAACTTTCATATCTCAAACATCCCTATCTCATACATTTTAAAAATCCCTGTCTGAATTCTCTTGGAAAAAATACACTAAGAGCCTCTCTAACTCCAAAGCTTTCCTCCACAAGGGATTTGGACTATTTTTTTATTGGCACAGGAAAGAGAAAAGCAATAAAAACCTCATGCTGTTTTACAAAACGAACGTGAGAGATTAATTTGACAAGTGAACCCTTGCCTCCTTCTTCAGCATCCCCTCAACTCATTTAAAAAGCAATTCAAGACCCAGAACATCACCAATTACAATTTCCTGTAATTCTTCTTTCTCCCCCCCTCCAAAAAAATAAAATAAAAAGCTTTTTTCCTCAACTCAAAATATAACGCAGTCGAATTTTTTGCTGGTCCCTTCAAGTTTGACTCAAAGATGTTCATACGTGATTTAAAACGTAAATTAGAGCCAAAATTTCATAAAAGATTTGATTCGTGACCAAAAGGGATGGTTCATATATTTGATAAGTATAAGTTTTTTTTTCGGCACCTGGTTGGAATGCAGAGGTTGTGAAAAATGCGCAATGAGATCGTCCTTGTTTCTTGTCCAGATCTTGGCAAGAATCTCTCCTCTGCCTCCTTCAAGCTCTTCAATGAGAAAATCCTCCGCTTTCCAACGATTTCGCACAGCCTTAAAAAAAAATTTGGCGAAAATCATACAATGAGCAGCTCGGAGTGAATTATTTGAAGAGTTCTACCTCAGAAAAAAAGTTGACCAGACAAACTTCTGCTTCGGTGATCTCAGATTTCAGGAATCCCAGGGATTTTACCAGAAGATCAGTTTCCTCCTCATTGAAAGCAGATTTCTTGGGTTCTTTCAGATTCCCAACAACTCTTTTCGCAAACTGAGACAACTTTGTTTCTTCAACTTTCGTCAGAATTCCCAGCTTTCTCTCCTTCCTCCTGAAACATTCCAGCATTAGTCCCGATTCGCTTTTAAAATTTGATGAATGGGAAAAACCCACCTGTTCAGAAACAGCTCCTCCTGCAACATTGGGGTTCACGCTAAACAAAAAAAATATTCACACACAAAAAAAAAATCGGGTGTCTCAAGCTGTTTTTAGAAAACACACACGAAAAATGAACTCAATGATCGTGTATACGCAGTCACAGAATTTTTCTTTCCTTTCATGGCATAAAAATGTTTTCCCTTCCTGTTCTTTGAGACTCCCAACAACAACAACATGAAAGCGGTGTAACATGGATTTTAAATAAATTCAGGACAACTCCGAGACGATGATGTTTCGCGGAATTTCCTGAATGGAATCCTACCAAAAAATCGTACACAAAAAAAAAGTTTTTGATCGAATTTGTCATCAAAAATAAAATAAACCACAGTCCCATAGATCCAAACACATGATTAAGACAAACTGAATTTAAAAAAAAAACGTGCACAAACTACACTGTCAGTGATAAGGAAATTCACGAACCAATAAATATAGGTTGTCTTTGGACGCAAAACAGGACGAAACAGATTCAAAATCTTTCTCGGCAACAAAACAAAAAACACCAGAGATCTTGACAAAAAACGGTGACCATCACCCCGCAATTCACTTGAAATGGATTTGATCCTGGTAGTATGCAAGGAAGAACAAACTTGCAACGCCAACAACAAAGCCAATAGTCTGCAATGTCAGCACGAACAGCACATCCATCACACTTTTCTTGCTCGCCTTTTCCGCGGCTTCATTCATTTCTGGTATCTGAAGAAAAAATTAAAATCCAAATTAACGAAGATTCTTCTGAAAAAGATTTCAGCATTCAACAAAAAATACAATACTTCAAATTCCTTCGAAAGACCATATTTCCCCAGTTTGAGCATTGAATCAATAATGGTCCACCAAGTTTCAGGTGAATCCCACTTGATACCATTAAATAGCACCTTTAGTTAAGACACGCACTTCAAATTATTCTGCGCAAAATTTGGATAAAATATAACCCCATTGTTAGATAGTGGAAATAGCAATATCTTTAAAAAAATACAATGCATCAAAATTTAAATTTTGACTTGAATTGTTTGACTTTTAAGCTTAGAATTAATTCTTGAGTGAGTTGAAAATACAATCCAAAGTGTTAAAACTAAACATTGAAGATAGGTTCATTTCCATTCACTAAGGAAATCTTTATTGAGCAGGAAAAAAAATGCCAGGATTTTTCCAGACTTTGCCCTGCTCACACAGCAGTCATGCTTCGCTTTCTAAATCCTTCTTTAAAGCACACACACACACACAAAAACAATTTCCACAGAAGGGTCAACTGCTGTTTTTTTCATTCGTTTACCATATCTGCCAGAGCAATGTAGAGGAAGATGCCGGCAGCCAGGCCAAACACATAATGCGCAGCTTCATGCAGATTCCCCAAGAGAATCCCCAACACGAGCCCCAGGTAACACATGGCGGCCGACATGAAGTTGTACAACAGGGCCTGCTTCATCGTCATGCCAGAGTTGAGCAACACGGCCAGGTCACCCAGTTCATGAGGAAACTCCTCGCAGATTATCGCTATGCTCACAGACACTCCAATCAGAGTGGACTCGCTAAAGGCTGCACCGATCGACACTCCGTCGATGAAATTGTGCAGACCGTCGCCAAAGATGACCATCCAGGCCACTGTGGCGATGGTCGTGGTTTGTGATGGCGGCACTCCGGCGGCACTGGCGGCGACGAGGGAATCGCTTCCTACGGTCGCCGGCGACGACGGCTCGTTGTTCATGAACATTGACCTGTGATCCAGGGCGTGCTTGTCCCTGTGAGGTCGCTGTCGATTACAATTATGCACATTAAACGCGCGTTCAATCAGTCAATCAATCAACAACTTTTCGAAGCTAGGTTACTGATTATTATGCAGCAAAATCTCGTCACAACGAACTCGAGGAGACTTCAGAAACAGTTTTTTATGACGAGATTTTAAAAATTATTAACTGGAAGATTGTTTCAATTTTTTGAACATGCATATATTTATTAAAAATTCATATATTTCAGCAAGGGTTTCTAAAGCATGCAAAACCCTCTCTTCAATCATGAGTTTTGCTGGGTTCTTTTTTAAAAAATCAATTTGTTGCAACAGTATTTGTTGTAATGAGATTTTACTGTTTAGTTCAATGGTACCTTGTACAACAAGCATAATTTGTGCAAACACAACGTTTGTTGTACTGAGCATAGACTTCTATGAGAAATAATTTGAGTTGTCCAAAAATGAAAAAAAAAACATGTAAACATTTTCAGTTCATTTCTTTAAAAAACCCCCATTGTTTCAGTAAATTTCGCGAAAACCCCCTTAGATGAAATATATTGAACCTGTGATTCATAACTTTCTAAAAATTAAATTGAGTTAAGTGTTTTTGAAAATGGGGTTTGATCTTTATTTTTTTCTTCTTCTTCAGATGTGAATTGCAGGTTTTTAAAATTGTTTATACAAGGATTGTTTCTACAACTTTTTGCTCAGAACAAAAAGTCTTCAAAAATGTTTTCTTTTTTTTTTTTCTTCAGGAAGTACGGATAGCAGGTTTAATTCATTACTTTTAGCAGAAATATTCTGCTGCAAGAACTTCAATTCAAGATCAGATAGTGGCAAAAATCGCGGAAGACTCGTGCCAACACGAACTCCCCTTCTCCCGGGGCTTCGTACAACTCACAGTTTGATGCCCAAAGGACGCCTTGATGACCTGTTCCTGGGCCTTGTAAATCTCAGCTACATTCGGATGCATGCCACAAAACTGCCCGGGTTCCTCGCCGTCCTCAATCATGGACGAAGACGCCAAAGGCTCGGCGACACAACAATCATCAGCAGTCATCACGAGGGATTCGTTAGTGGCCAACTTGTCCATGCCGCCACTGTCCCGACTGCTGCCACGGCCAAGGGATCCGGAATGATTTGGCAAATCCGGAGAGTGGCGCAACTTGGCCAGCATTCTCCGGCGTCGTTTGTGCTCTATGACGGTTTTCAGGAAGCGCTCAATGACGTAGAACCCGTAGATGCCGCAAATGGCAGTCAGGGCCACCAAGAGGTAGTCGTGGTTGCCATAAAGCTCCGGCAGTCTGAATGCCTGGAAGGATGATATAAGCACCGAACAGGTTACCAATATACTGTACCACGAATTTTGCAGGGCAAATGACAACTATACCTCATCAAACATTTTCATTCATATTATTTGGGCAATTTGTTCAATACAAATAATTCACCTGAGGGATGAGGTGAAACAAAGCAGAGCTTGATAGTGATCCCATGGCCAGGCCAATGAGTGTTGTCATGAGGCTGTCATAGAATCTCATGCCCACCAGGGGCAATAAGAAAGCTCCAATGATTGAACAAGAACTTATCGCTGTCACAAGAAGAAATCCATATCCCCAAACTGAAAAAAAAAAAATTCCACACCATTTTCACATAAAATACTGTCTACAGCCAAATTGAGTTATAACAAACTTTCAGGGACTTCAGAAAAACCTTGCTAAACTGAACAATTTGTCATGAAGAGATTTTCAAAATTAATGACCAGAACAATTTTAACTTTGAACCTGCATAAAATAAATTAGATCTTGCTTTTCTTGCATTCTCAAGATTTTTTATTATTCTTCAAAACACAGCAATCTTTAAAAAAAACTATTAACTACTATCAGGTATTCAAACAGTTTCATCAATATTTTAATTCTGGGAGGATTTTATGCACTTGGAAGCATGTTTGTCACTGATAACAGCTTTCATCCATGCTACAATAGGAACCAGTTGATCATACAGTAAAATCTTGTTACAAGAAACTCATGGGGAACTCAGAAAAAGTTTGTTGTAACAAATAATTTGTTATGACAAGATTTTAAAACTATACAGTGCTTGGAAGGTTTTTAAAAATTAAATGTGCATATACTGTATTCAAGATCTTCATTTTGTGGCATTTTCAGATGTTTTTCCATGATTCCAACACTGATATTTTCGGGTTCATTTCTTCCCTCAAACTTTCTTTCTCCCACCCACCATTATTCTTAACCCATGAAAAAATTTTTGAAGGAGAGGGTATTCAGGTGAATTTTTGAAAATGCGTGTCCTTGATTGATTCCATCTTCCACTCATGTCCCAAGAACTAGTCACAGTTAAATTGTGAGGTGGGAAATTTGAGACTGAGCCAGCCTTCATTGGAGATTTTTCATTATGGGGAATCACAACATGTCCCTCAAAAATTTTGTTATACTGGGATTGGAGAGTTTGTTGTAGTGAGATTTTTATAACATGTACCCATCAGATTTCCGCCAGGACTAGCAAAGAGTTTGATATACTGAACATGTTGTTATAACAGTATTTGTTGTAACAAGATTTTACTGCAATTTCTTAGATTAAGAAATTTCAGACTGTGCCCATCTCAGTCTGGGTATTTCTACCGGGAGAAATACCCTGGCAAGTTTTTCATAAGACTGTTTTACCATGTACTGCTTTTTCTTAGAAAATGTTTCCTATACTGAAAAATGTGTTGTAATGATACAGTACTGTATTTGTTTTAATATATTCCAATTTCATTAATAAAAAAATGTAACCTTCAGACGGAGAAGGCTTCCCTTTCTCTGTCCCATTGAATCTAGAGAACCTGGGACACTTGGCATTTGTGAGCTGGTGCAAAAGAGCAGGACACAGGCTCTTCAGTGCAGAACTGTTGAACACACTTTGGTCTTCCGCATGATCTTGCATCTCAGCACCCAGAGACACTCGCAGCAATTCTTCGGGTGACAGACACTGCAAAAACAATCATTGATGAATCCGATAGCCTTCATCAGCTTTAGAATCATTCTTTATTCTAATGAGCAGTACCGACACTCAATCTATCACAATTTGGGAAGCCGTACCATCGATCGGTGAAGGTCTTTCCCACGCAGACCAAAAATGTGTAAGAACGTAAACTTTTAGTTAGTACAGCATTCGATTTCTAATACTGTTCCGTCTAGTCGTGAACTTCGCCGAGGCATTTGGAACTTGAATGGTGGAACACATTCGCGTAAAAAAGCTTGATTACAGGTGCAAAAAAAATGACAAAACATTGAAAGAAGCATTTCTTAGCGAAGAAAGTTCATCAAGTATCTAGACCACACAGAGAAATTTCAAACCCTGTTGATACCATTTCCTGTTGCTTGTATTTTTTCTGGTAAACTTACTATTGACATCTACAGAAAAAAAACGGAAACACTTTAGACAAATAATTGAGACAAACAATTTTATTACGCTGATGCATTGGACTCTCACTACAATAAAATTCAAGGGACCAGAAAAACATTGTTCCAGAGAACCTGTATAACATGGGGAGAGAACCTTGAGCAACCAAGGATAAAATCTTCATACGTAGGAAATACTTGTACACAAGATTGTTGCAGAGTCCATCTTAATGTTGAAAACCTCAACATACTTACCACAAATTTTGATGTACAGAACTTACTCAAGTACCATGCACCTGGGAGTAAGATGTGCACCCCAATTTTCCAGTCAAAACATTCAATTAAATTGCATCCCTGAGTAAGACACAGACACCATTTTTATAGTGAGCTGAAAACTGCAATATTTTCAAAATGAGAAAAACCAAATTTGAATTTAGACATTAATTGATCCTGAATTCCTTTAATTTTCAATTACTTTCATTGCAAAAAGTTTGTATGTTAAAATAGGTCCAAAATTTCCCATAATTAGAATCAAATATGATGAACATCTAAATTATAGTTTTTATTTTTATTTTACCCAACTACAACGCTCATGTTAATTTTTTCTCCCAGTTTTGAGAAAAAAGTTGTGCATGGTACTGGAGTAAATATGATACATCTAGACTTGCTCTACAACAATTTTATACGTTCAACAAATTTCAATAGAGTCCCATATGGGTTCCAAACCATCTTATAGAGGTTTTCTACAACAAAATTCCCTCTACAGGTACAACAAACTTTTTTCTGGTCTCTTGAATTTTGTTGCATAGAGTTTCCACTGTACTGTAATCAGCTCGTCCTGAGAACCTTCCTTTTCTTTAAATTGAATCTGTAAATCACCTCAACATCGGGTCTCCACCAGCAGGATCCCCCCTGACACGTCAGCGTCCCATTATCCACACCCATCACAGACGAGATATAACTGGTCACATCACCCGCAGTGGCGGCTGTCACCAGGCCCTTGAGGTCTTGGAGAGAGAACAAGTCCGCGTGGTCGCCAGCGCTTGCTGCCGACACTACCGCAGCCAAAGCCGCCCATTGCACAAACATCACTCAACACCATGCAACACTAGGATCTCCTGCCCTCGAAAAGACAACACCAAGGAAATTAGACAAAAACACCGAGACCTAAAGAAAAAATAATCAAAACGAGGACGGGAAAAGACGGAGGAATCTCCCTACAGCTTCATCGCGTTCTTCTTTCTTGGATTCCCATGATATTCTTGACGTTGAGAAAAAAATTCGCGGAGGACAGAATTTCCACATTTCATCAACACAAAAAGCACACCTCTTGCGCAGTTGGGAGGTTCAAAGGTTCCATGCCCAAAATGTAAAAAAAAAAGTGTAGTTTTTCACATACTGTGTGCTTTTTGAACCCGCAACAGGAACAAACACAAACCAAAATAATCACAGAAAACGTTGAGTTTCTAGCGGTAGAATTGGAAAAGTTCATTGCTTTCAACAAACAGCCCTAATTTTGCTAGAATCATTTAAACCAAGGCAAAATGATCTTAGACCTGATTGAATACAATAGAACCTAATTCAGGCAACACCTATCCAACATGAGAAAGATCAGGTTGTCTATGACATCCAGTGATACAGTTAAAAAATGGAATACATTAAAATCATGTGTCCATGACATCCAGTGATAGTTAAAAAATGTAATACATTAAAATCTTGTAACAACAAATTTTGGGGAATGCAAAAATCAGCTTGAAATACTAAATAATTGTTAAAAAGGTTTTCAAAATTAATGACTGAACACATTTTTCTCATAAGACCTGCCCATGATATTATATCGTGTCTTTTTCTGGCATTCTCTGAATCTGTTTACTATTGAGAGAAAAACTGAGTGATCTTCTGCAGAAAAATTAGCTTTAAAAATTTACATCTACCTCTTTTTATTCTGGGAGGATGATGCATAGAACCATTTGAAGACATGTTTGTCATTGATTATAATCCATCCAATGCCAAAAGAATCTATCAGTTCAATCAGAATCAATACAGGTTCAGAATTTCAGTCTGTGCCTGTATTGGTCATGCAATTTATATTTGGAGAATACATTGAACATTCTTCAAAAAAGTTTGTTATACTTTGAATTGGTAACTTTGTTATAACAAGATTGGTAACAACATATAATTTAGGGGTTTTCTGCCAAGAGTTGGAAAAAATGTTGCCACACAGAAAAATGTGTTAAAACAAATTTTTTTTGTATAAAAAAACTGCCAGGATGGAAGCTTTCCCCCTTCACTCAGAAAAATATGAAGAAAACGCACTCTAAAAAAAATAAACACACAAACAAACACGGGATTTCTTGCTATGTGCGATCAAAGACTTTTCAGGGCACAGAAATCCACTATAGCTCCTGCTCCAATGAGCAGGGATCCCCAGGTTTTCAGCTTCACCTGTTTGTCTCCGTCGTCACGAGGCAGGAAAACAAAATGAATTTTCTGCGAGGAATGATCAAAATTAAACTCAAGATTTTTCATGTTAAGAAAGAAGACATTTCTCTTACCGAATTCTTGCCGGAATTCCAGAACAAGAAATCCGGACAATTTCTGGAGTACGTAGAGAAAGCCTTCGAAAACATCTGGCAAATCAATATCACAACACTCGAGCCAATTGTCAGAACGAGTTCCTAAGGGGATAAAAATCAATCATAAATACAAGGACACTTCAAGTGTGAAGAAAAAAAGCAAACCTTGAAAGCAGAGAATGACGAAAAGAGATCCCATTCAACCAAGCAGGCTTGTCTGACTTTCGACCTCTCTTCCCAGCAATTTCCCAGGAAATCCACAAATTCTTCAAAGTTGCTCTTTATGACCTCCAGCTTTGCATCGATTTCATCTGAACGTCTAATGATACGAAAAATACATCGTTCAAAATTTCAGAAAAATTATGAAGCAGACAAAAAGTTACTGCCCAGCAAGAAATCTATTATCCAAACGATGAATTTTCATATTTCGTTCTTTGCTGAGAAAAATCCACCTAGTATTCGTAGATTTCATCTGTAGTTACATGACAAACATAATTAAAAATACTTTTTGGCCTCTTTCCTGCTTCAAACACTTGCTTTTTCAATTTTTTTATTCGTTTCCGCAAACGATTTAAACGAGATTTAAAACAATCGGAAAGTGTTCATCATTTTTCCAATGCACAGTAACTTTTCTTCATTAAAAGGAAACGGTGTTCAACAACGGACTGAAGGAACAAACCTGAGATAAAAATCTTTGGAAATCAAATCCAAGGGTGCCTTTTGCACTGGAAACATGAAAGCCGCTTCCAACGGCATGAAAAGCTCATCCCACATGAAAATGCCGAACAATGAAACAAAGCAACTGGAGCCATCTATTCCTGTGAACAAAAAGAAGAAAGAAAAAAACAAGTTTCGATTGTTCTGATCATACAAAAACGACCAGATGAGACGGAACTCACGGTTTCCAAGACCCAAGTGTGGAAAATTTGCTTCATAAAAGGCAGTCACGACTTCATCCTTACTCGACAAACAAACAGTTGCCCAACTGTTATCCCGCATTCTCAGCGTCAGTTGATACTTGGAGTTCTCTTCGATTCTGACCAAGAGGAAAAATGTAAAAAAAAATGAGAGCAAAGGTCTTGGCGGTGATTTGTTCTCAACTTTCACAAAGGTGTCGCCTGCGTTTTGTAGACATTTTCTCAACAGAACTCAGTATACTTCACCATCAAGTTGCAATCCCACAAAAATTTGTGGAATTTCTCCAACGGAAAAATGATCTGATGCAAGATAAAGCTAAATATTCCAACATCATTCAAGTACCGTGAACTGAAATTTTCGGTGCGTAAGAAACAATAACTGTTTTAGCCTTTCCAACAAAACAAAAAAATGAAATAAAAATTCCGTTAATATTTCTCTGTACATCTATAACTGCATCGCCGAATATCAATTCATCTTCAATAATTTCAGGGTACATCAGATGCGTTGAAGTGCTTTCTTGGTCCAGTAAATGCTTCGGTCGACACCTGCCCGACTTTTCAGAAACCAAGAGGAGTCGCTGAGTGAAAATTTTCGTCAAAAAGAGAAGAAAAACTCGCCTGCAAATAATTTCGACGTCATTGCCACCCTGTATCTTTTCCTCCCTTTTCGATTGCACGGCATACAACTTCAGGGTGAAAATTCGCAAGTCTGTTGCCTGAGGACTCTCGGCCAAGTTCTTCGTTCGTTTAATATTCGTCTCCCTCTTTTTCGTGGCTTTTAAAAGAGCATTCTTGGCCAGTACCAATGTTGCCCAATGGTTCGCTTGGATTGTTGGATCAGCAGCAGCTGCCAAAATGGCATCCACGCACTGAAATCATCACGGAACGCCTTTATTAAAAATAAAACAATGAACTCAAATTAGATTTTTTTCTGAAGTGTGAAACGATAACATTTCGTGAATCTTTCATTACAATTAGTCGTCATCCTTTTTAGTTCTCGGCGAATAAATCGATGTTTCAGATTCAGAAACGCATGATTCGCACGACGTCATCAACGAAGTAAATCACAAACCCTTTCCTAGTACAATTTAACCATTTGTGTTTGTGAAAAATAAATTGTTAAATATATTTTCAGGATGCCATCGATTCAATTGTTCATCGTAAGAATTTCTACATCATGAAAAAATTGGGAAAAGGTCAGAATCGCGATTGGGCAAACAACTTCGGGAAAGTAATAACCTGAAGAAATCTGCTAAAATATTGTATCAGCACTTTTTCTCACTACGCAGAAAACACAGCCAATCGAGACCGTTTTTTTTTTTTTTTTAAATAATTACGCGCATGAAAGACGTGAAAATGATGAACTCAAACCGACGACCCACCTCAGAGAGCCTACCAATAATCCTCAAGAACCTGATTCTATAAAAATGCCACACGGGACGACTGTCAACCATGTATTCCACTTGAAACAGCAGCCGTGACAAGGCATCAGCAATCAAATCAAAAAACTGTTTCGAAGACGGCAAAGCACGGATTCCATTCCAAGTCAGGGCGCACAAGATAGTGCCCATTGAGAAGGGCAAGAGGAATTCCGGAAGTTCCGAGTCACGCTTCCGGAAAGTTGGCAAAGCGTTTACAGCCCAAGTCACGCCTTCAGATATCAGCGGGTAGCACTTGTAAACGCAAGCAGCGTTTACTTTCTCAAAACATTTCCATGCCAGGAAGTACCTGATGAAATAATAACCGTGGGAAATGACTCATTAATTTTACACGCATTTTGTGTTCTGAAGAGCCTTTTTTCAGCAAGAATCAATAATGAGTTAAAGTGGACTCTCTCTACCATGAAATTTAAAGGACCAGAAAAAATTCTTTGTAGAGAATTTTATTGGGGAGAAACCCCATAGCATGGGACCACAATTATTTTTTTATGCAGAGAAAATTGATTTCAAAAAGATTGTAGCATAGGGTCCACCTGTGCTTTTCTTTTTTGTGCAATACTATGATGAATTCTTTCAATGTGAGTAGATGTCACTGGCAGTTAACCCTAAACAAAAATAAGTTTTGCATAAGGTTGCTAAAATGCAGCCTCGGGTGAGTAGCAGGAGACCAGAAAAGTCTGGGGAAGTAGAACCTACTTTTTTCCCCCCTCCATGTTAACCCTGCAGCAAAAGTGCAGAAAAAAATTCCACCCAACATTGAGGAATCATTTTCTGAAAAATTTTACTGCACAAGGAGAAACAATGGGATTTTTCCCAACTTTGGCTCTGCTGATCAGACTGTTTTTTTTTGTGCTCCTTGGCAAAATTGTGCAAATATATGCCAGATATTGTGCATGTATATCCCACAGAAGGGTTGAAGGTGTGTTTTCATTTTACACAATTTCACTGGCTTCAAGATTCTCTTGCATTCAAATGGAAATTGTAACAGAAGCATACAAAGTTAACAAAATCTTCCTAAATATTGTGTGAAGGAGATTTTTTCAATGATTTCGCGTACCTTCTTTCAATGTTAAAATCACCCAAACTGCTCTTTTTTCAGTGCACTGAAACTTTTCAGACAATCTCATGTAATAATAAATCATTCCAGTATTCACAGCTTAAAAATACTCAACTGCCTGAACGCTGCTCGATTTGGAAACAAAACGTTGATGGCTTGAACATTGAAATGACCGACAGAGACGTCCGCAAAATCCTTGAAAGCCATGGCAAAGGTGACCACACGTTCAATGCAAATTGAAGGCTCAGGAGCCCTCAGTAACATGACCATCATTTCCACCAACTGGACAGCTGAAGGATCTAGACAGTATTCAACGGCCATGCAGTCAATCATCCTATAAATATAATTCAAGGCAAAGAATCAATTGAAGGAGATGAAAATCATATAAATTCACCAGCTTATTTATTTCACCTCAACTTATCTGCTTCCTCAACCTGATCACTTCCGAAAACGTGCTGCAGAATCCGCGTCTCTGATGCTTCAGAAGAGCCACATTCTTCAGAAATTTGTTGCAATTGATAAGGTTTCAGTAATTTCAGGATCTCAGCGGCTGGCAAACGCAAAACTGATTTCTGGCAAGAACGAGATCCTGGTTCTGTAGAAGAAAAAAATGCCCTCTTCATTTCAATGTCACAATCTTCATGAAAATCACTGTCATTGCATTACATTACTCAAGGGCATCTGAATCATTTCACTGTGAGTCAGCCCTTGCTTTACTGCACCTCAATTGAAGCCAGAACTTCTTGGCCTATATAAAATGGGCTTAAATCAAAGAAATGCACATGGATATCATTAGCTAATCACTCAGAAGCACGAACTCCTGTTCAGGACGATTTTGAAAATTCCTTTTCTGAATCTAAATGACATTGATTGGAATTGTTTGATGTCCTCTACAGTAAAGAGCATCTCCATAAATGGGATAGCCTGTTCAAAAAATATTTGCAAGCATTTTACCTGATCTTGGAATAGTGTGCGAAAGCTTGATACAAAACTTATAGAGACATCAGCTCTGCTTTTTTACTTGATAGATGTGCAAAAATCTAATACACACTGTATTCGTAAGTAAATGTAAATTCAGTATAAAACGTGCATTTGAGCCTGAAATTATTTCTTGTGTCCTCTTCTGTCAAAAAAAAAAAGACTCAAGGGCCACAAAAAGCAGGTTCTGCCTACAGCAGTAGCCCTCAAATAAATTTTCCACTCACACAATACCCCTAATTTAGTGCCACAAAATGTGCCATGACAAATGACAGTTCCCGTTCTAGGGTGATCTGTGCGAAAAATTGCGATTCAGGCGACACCTGTCTGAAAACTCAGATACTCGGATGGTGAACCATATGAACAAAAACCTTTTTTACAGAGCAGAAAAATCTGACGGCCTTCTTACTTTCGTAGACCAAGCCAAGATGTTTGAGATCCTCAATGTGAACAAAATCCTCTTCGGATATATTTGCCTTCTGCAATATTTCCTGGACTCGGTACCATTTAGGATCCAATTGAACCAATTTGAAGTAAAGCTCCAGAGCATCATGGTCCATTTCCGATAAAGCTGCAAGACATTCCAATTCTGACACGACGAACAGATGCGGGAAAAACTTTTGAATTTGACTCAAAGCCCACTTGAAACCTCTTCGAACGAGAGATTCTGAGTCTTCTTCCATCGGTTCTAAAAGTCCACGTTTAAAAAAAATATTCAGAAATGTTGCTGATGTCGGAGTCATTAAAAAAGCCTTTTACCTTCATTTTGTGAGATGATTTCCACGTTATTTTGATCCGGAAGATTAGTGTCTGTTAAAGGGATCACCTTAAAAGAATTGCTGGACCCCGATGCATTATTATTCTCAGTTTCCTTCAACAGGTCACCGTAGACGGACAAATCCTCGATTTTCGAGCACAGTTCCATCTGCACTTCGGACAGCGGCAACAGGCTCATCACTGAAAAAGCGCAAGAAATTCCACAGGAGCATAAATGTTCCCCAATCAACATTTAAATTCATAATCCTCGAATAAAAATCCCGAATCGTTGTTCCTAAAAAACCTCAATTACAGTCATTTAAAGCTTCATGCTGTAGATTATATGTCCTTTGAATTCATAATACTCAAATAAACAAGGAAAATTTCAGAATTAATTCACATTTTTCAAGAATCGTTGTTCTAAAAAACCAATCATAAAATTTTATGTTGTAGAATGTAGATGAGTTATCCTTAAAATTCCTAACCCTCAAATAAAAAAGGAAAAATCACAAATTTATTTATTCGAGTTTTTCGAGAAATGTTGTTCTCCAAAAAAACCCATTGTCATTAAAATGTAATTTTTTAGATGAGTTATCCTTCTAATACTTGACCTTCAAATGAAAAAGGGAAATCCCGAATTTGCTCAAGTTTTTCAAGAATCGTTTTCCCCAGTGAAACAAATTTGTGTCTTACGTTGTAAATCATGAAGAACTTGTTATAAAAGAAAAAAAACGGTCAGCTATTCACGCAGATGAATGAACACTACTCACTGCAAAAATGAAACTGTCAATCCATCTCAACAGCGACTTTCCATCAGGGCACAAGCACAAAATAAAATCTGAAATTTCGAAAAATTGTAGAAATCATTCCCAAAAATGCAGCAAGTATCAACTCTTCGTCAAAATTCTAACACAAACATTTTTCATCACAGCAGCACAACCCTGAACATGACAAAAACACAGTCACATCAAAAACGTTCCCTCGCAATACGAGTACTTGGAAAAAAAGTATCAGGAACTCGTAACAAATTCTTCCGCAAAAGGAAGCAAGCATTCGACAAGAAACATCATGACCTTGATTTCATCAGGTTGCTTGGCGAGATGAAAATTATGCATAAATCCTGACTTCGCCAACGTCACTTGCTGATCGTGAACCTGGAAGCAGGGATAAATTAAAAGAGTTTAATCCAAAGTCTCTTGATACATAGTATAAATAAAATACATTTACCAGTAGGTCCATTTCATCTACGACGTTCACATCGAAACGCAACAATTCCGATTTTTGCATCTCGTCGAAATTTGCAAGCCGATCTTCGACGTCCGCTGCATCACAGGCTACCATTGAGCTGACCAAAGTTTCCCTCTCTCCTGCTCAAAAATTTAATTGCATTTTACTTGGAATATGAGTAGCGTGAAAAATCCAACTTTATCGCCAAAATCTTGACATGCAGTTGACTGCTTACAGTAGCTATTCAGTACGATCATGTGGCGGATTCCTTGAAATTTTAAAGATGTCTCCTAAATCAAAATTCACAAGGCGGACCAAAATTAAAGGCCAAGATTAATTTTTCCTAAAAGAAATTAAGTAACTTCCCGGAGAAAAAATATATTAGTTACTATCCATAACGTTTGCTTTTGAATGCAATTTTCATAAATAAAATAATGATTCCGTCGTGCACACGCTCAAGTGTTCACAGTGAAAATATGCTCGATCATCTCCTCATTTGAACGCACTCAATAAACTCGCATTCAAAGAGAAAATCTGACATCAATTCGATTTCCAAAAAAATAAATAAAAAGTGCTCTCGTTCGTGTGATAATTAAAATAAATTTGACGAACTTTTCTGCGCATTCACGAACTCGTCTCTCTGAGCAGCAAACCGGCTCAACATGTTGTCCTGGATTTGTTGCAGCTGTCTCAGGATGTCAAGGTTGATCTTTGTACAGCAACTCACACAGGACCTCAGCTTTTCATCAGTAAGCTCTGATTGTAAGCTTCTGCAAAATTCATTAGCTTTGACTAATAATAAGACGCGTCAAAATGCTTCTTTTCTTTTCCGAAGGACTCACGGAGGTAATTCGGCTCTCTTGGTTTGCATGTGCTGAAAAATGACGTCTTGCTGTTCTGGAGGCATGGTCATTCACTAATCTGGCAAAATTTGACAACTTCAAAGAGTTTCTCTTCGTACAGAGCGAAAAAAAAGGTCGAACAGTGAACAGATTTTCTGAAGTTACATCTCCCGAACGCGAGGATGGCTATCACATACAAATCAGTCAATTTGAAAATACTGTAGTTCACTTACTCTTCAACGATTAAAAATTTGTTCGGCTCTGGCTGCCTTGATTTGAAAAACTATTAAATGAACAATTTTTTTTTCAAAGATGAACGTTCAGTTAGCAACAGTTGAGGAGATATCCCTTTGAAAAATCTGATTCACTTCTTGATTCACCCAGTGCGAATGTTGAAATAGAAACTAATACGCATTTGGTTCTTCCGTTTCTTTTCCCAATTGCTCACGTCGTTCACAAGATCTGAATAAAACCTCCGCCTTTTCTTGTTCGATCAGAAAAATAAAATAAAATAAGGTGCCACACACCACATAAGCAATCACAAAGACAAGTTGATCAGCCTCTTCATAAAAAGAACACAATAATAATATCTCGATTCAGAAGTGGTTTCGAATGCGAGCGTGAAACTCGATCTCGGAGCCTTTCAAAACTTTTTTTCGAACATTATTGCGGAAAAAAAAAACATTTTGTCAACCACAAAATGTCCTGACGATGTCAGCGACTTGTTCTGCCAAAGCGTCAGCCTCAGGTTTTGTAGCAGCTTCTGCGTAGACACGTACAACGTCTTCTGTTCCAGACGGACGGACAAATGATCGACCATCAACGAATTTTCCGACAACTTCGTCAATTTTCTCCTGAATTCCAACTGGTTTCACGCAGCGTCTTTCCGCGTCCGTCGTCTCCATACTGTACCTGTCTTTCACCTTTCAATACCAGATTTTTGTTGTTGTTGAGAGAATACAAGAGCACAACATTTGGCAAAGCGAAACTTTCTTTAAAAAGTTGCATCTCACCAAATTGAACGTGACAATTGATGACTAACTTCCAAAAACGATTTCATTCCATTTAAAAAAAGCAAAAAAAAAATGTGGAACAATAGACGAAATCTCCAATACTTCAATTTTAAACTTTTTATACAATTCTCGGAATTGGTGAAGAACCCTTCGTGAAGATAACTCACCAGAACTTTGAGCATTTTATTCGGCAAGTCAGAGTAGCTGTTGTTCCAGTCATCCATATTCCAACCTCTCGTCATTAAAATTGCCTGCCAAAAAAAAAAAAAAAAAAAATGCAAACCTCATGGTTCGTCAGGATCAAAGAAGACAAAGAAAAATTACGTACCTCAACGAGCAGAAAAATTGACAGCGCATCTCCAACAGTTTCATTTATAAGATCAACAAAAGCCAAGAGCTTCTGGGCATTTTGGTCTGATCCAGCTTTGGTTCGGATTTCTTGTTTCACCGACTCTTTGAAAACAACTGTCCCATGTCCATTGGCTTCAAAGTAAACTCCAATATCAAAGAGCTCCACTGCCACTTTGTGCAAATGCTTCACTCCGGTTTTGGCACAAGCAACAGGCACTCCCATCACCTGAAACGAAAAAAAGAGAAGTACAAGATGTATAACCCTCTTGAAGCCAAAATTTGGCAGCCTAAAAAATTTCAAGCAAAAATTCGAATTTTATCCACCTCTTCCAGATATTTTGTGGAACTGCCATTTGCATACGCCGTTTGCACCACCCCGAGTTTCGCACTGATTCCACATTTTTTCAATAAATCCGACAAGAAACCCGCAACCAATGCAGAAATTTTGTCGCCGTCCAAGAGTCGAAACACCTTCGCAGAGTCATTGTAGTAGTACACAATTCTGTCGTAAAAAAATAATTTGAACAAGAATAAACTACGCATGCCATTTCTATTCAATACAGTACTTTATTTTTATGGTAAAAGTTTTTTATTTCCAAAAATCCTTAGTCAATTTATTTTGCCGAAGAGGCTCATATTTTCACGAGTTTCATATAACTTGGCGCGCACGAAATTACGGAAACAAAAAATCTTTTAATTCGCGGTATTTTCAACTTTGAGAACTTTCCTAATGATAAAACAGACGGCCTCAGCATATGTTTTAGACACACGGAACTGAAAATTCCTGAGGGCATTTCAAAGCATTGACTAACAGTAAATTTGAAAGAAAAACTGAAATATTGAATTCCTCGGCTTTATCATAATTAACGCGAATAAGAAACTAACCTGTCAGCGTCTCCGTCAAAAGATACACATCTAGTCCCAGGCTCCACATCCATTCCTAAAGGGAGCCTTTGTTCAGTTTTCACAAAATCCGAGCCACAGTTCTCGTTCAGTCGGCCTCTTTCCGGCAAGAAAAACTCCACATTCAAAATGTCACCACCCAAGGCTTTGAGGAACCTTTTCATCGCAAAAACTCCAACTCCATTTGCTCCATCGAACACGACTTTGTTCGAGTATTTCTGCACGTCCGTCACGCCTGCGTCAACAGAAAAAAAAATGCATATACAGTAGAATCTCATAAGAACACAGCAAACTTTTTCTGAAGTCCCCAAAAGTTTTTGTAACAAGATTTTACAACATAAATTTCCTTGCAATAATCGACAATGGTTGATAATGAAATCATACCTTGATGAATTTTATCAAAAGCAGCGCAGAGTTTTGCACAGTAGCCATCAACTGAAGGAGCCCCGTAAGACTTATTGTTTGTGCAAGCAACTACAAAGTGTAGTTGAGGGGTCGTCACCAGCCCCAAAGTGCGCAAATTAGCACCAAGACATTGAACACCATCAGCAATAGCACCTGCCAGAGCCTCGCTAGACCTGCGCGTGTCTTGTCCAAGGATCACGTTTGCAATTGAGGCCTTGTCCAAGGGACCAATCTTGGACAATACTTGCACCAAATCTTCATCTGAAGCTGCCACTAATTCAGTTGCAATTCCTTTGTTTCACAACAGCGGTAATGAAAAAAAAATGAAAAAGAGGCAACACATCAAGTCACATAGAGATTAAATGAAAAAATTCAAAGTCAATTCTGTGCTTTGCTTTGATTCACAAGCCTGATAGAATTTATGAAGGACACAATATATTTTTGAATTTTTACATTCATCTTTGAATATATATTTTTTAATAGTAGCACCTGCTACCTTGAAAATTGAAGTGAAGGGACTGTGCGACATATGAAGAGATCTGGCCCATGGGCCATACGTTGGGCAGCATTTCTATAGGATGAAATTTCAAAACACACAAAAAATGCTTGAACCATAATTTCTTGTACAGTGGACCCTCAGTTAACGAACTCAATTGGTTCCAGACAAAAGTTTGTTGACCAAATTCAATCATCCTATAGACTTTCATGGGGATGAATTTAATTCATTCTGTGAACGCATAAGACAATTGAACGTATAATATAAAAATGCAAGACCATAATCTATAATCAGAATAATTTGTAGCTGTATCTTAGAGGAGCCCAGAATTGATTTATAGATGTAGCACTGATGAGAAATACAATCAAAATGCTTCACAGCCAGAGAAACATACACCAAAGGATACATGTTAGGTAAAAATGAAATTTATTTTTTAATGCAGCAAGTGAAGATCAATTAGATCTTTCTAACAAGTGTACAACTAGAAAAACCAAGCACAGAAACGCAAATAATTCTGTAACAGATACACGAATAATGCAGCTGAAAGAAGTTTAAAACACAAGATTTAACACATTCGAGTGCCAGAAGAGAAGCATTTTCATATCAGTGAATAGGTGAATTATTTGCATTTCGATTGTACAGTACGATAAATTTCAGCCTTAAAATCATTCTTGAATTTTTGAAATTCGGGATTTTTCCCCAGAAAAAAAGATTGCAAGCAAAATTTTGGTTTGTTAACTGAGGGGTTTTTCCACAAAACCGTAAGTCTGTTAACCAAGGGGACACTGTAATTGGAATAAATTACAGCATCAACTCACCCTCCCAAGAAGCCTCCAGCATTTCTCCAAACGGGTCCACCAGCTTGACTCCATTGTCTTGCTCTGGGTTATGCGAAGCAGTCACCATGACACCTATCGCCTGACCTTCCTTTTCAATTGACCTCATCACAGCCAAGAGTCCCATTCTGAACATGATGAAATCCAATTCTGCGCCCAAGTCCCGGAACCCGGCGGTGCCATAACGGAAAACCTTATCATTTTTCCGCGGGTGGAATTTCAAAGCTGCTTCCAACTCTTCGTGCATTTTTCACAAGGTAACTTCTAAATACAAGTGCTTGGGAAGAGAAAAGGAAAAGAGGGCAAATGCAATCAATCCCAGCAAAAGAACGATGAAATTATTCAGTGATGCGGAAAAACTGCATAATATATAGCTTTTCTTTGTGCACTTCAGCACATGAACAACTCGGGTGATTCTGAACTACCATGAACTAAAAACCTTATTAACATGACGAATCGAGGTTCAATCTCGGGGAAATTAATTCAACACAAAATAAATGAAGCACTTGCACACTCAAAAGGCAACATTGCGAGAGATGCGAAGATCCCTAAAAAAGAAACGTATACATAAGGCAATGCAATGGCTTTTGATGAGCGAACACAATCTTTAGATCTCGAAAGATCAGAGGATATGGTGCACCTAAAACCGACAACAACAAAAAAATCGCTAGCACTAGTCCGTTTTCTTGACGGTCTTCTCAGTTTTACAGAGCTTCTTGGCTTCCTCGTAGACGTTGTTCAAGTCAAAGGCATTCACAATGTTTTGCTCCGTAAAGGGGAATTTAATAACGAGTCCCTTGCTGTCGACGAAGGGTCGCCTCTTGACTTCTTTTCCACCCTTGAACAGACTCAGGGTCGGCAACTGTCGACTGTACGGCGAATCCGACACATGCTGCTCCTTGGCCGTTTCAGGATACCTCGTCACATCCAACTTGCCAAACTGAAAAAAAAAAATTATTCATGAAATTTTCGAAATTCCTACTGGAACGCTTGGTGTTCTCAACTTGTCTGCTTCTTCGCCATCACAGCACAAAACAATTAACAGCAAAATCTCATTACAACGATATCTTAGGGACCTGATAAAAATTATTTATAATGGCATTCATGTTTCTTCAAGCATATGGAAGACTGACATTTTGTGAGGAACAGGTAATGAAAACTTTGAAGTACTTCCACCATAGATTTGTGAAAAATTGTCGTCATTTTTACCTTCCTTTGATGAATAAAAGAGAAAAAAATCCAACATATGAAACAATGCTTTTATTTCAGTCTCATTATTTTCATATTTCCTTCGAATACAGTAATGTAACTGAAGTATCGGCTGAAACAAACAAACTATATAGCAGCCATTTTAAAATTCCAAAATAAAGGCAGATGCATTTCTATTATAGCTTCATGCTTCCTGACATCCTAAATTTTCTGTGCAAAACAAGAGTAGCATTCATATTTTTTTACGGTTTTCCAATCATATGCACAAGCTGGGTTTCCTACATAGGACCGATTTGTAAAAATGCCTATGGCCCATGCACAAGCCATCACGTCGAAACTTCGATTAACTGAGATTAAAAACGAAGATTAGTTCGCTATAACGCAATTATCATAATCCTATTCCGATAAAGAAACTGATGGAACCAAGAATAAAATTCATTATTACGAGATTCTCCGTAAAGAAGTAGCAAATGCCATCATAACTTCATTGTTCTCAAAATTCCACTGAATTCTCCTTTTTTCTTTATTCAGAAGAAAAACATCAATAACGTGAAAAATCACCTTGAAAAAGTCACAGCCGTAGGTGTGTGAAAGGCGACGGAACGTCGGTGCGAACTGGTCACAAGCGGGGGACCAAGTCGCGTAGTGGGCAACCAACCACGTCACTCTCGAATCTCCATGCAACACTTCTTCATCGAAATTACCCCTAAAATGAGAATTTTCAAATAATTTCGGCTGCGATAGATGCTAAGGACAATCTTTAATTTGGAAGAAAAGTCATGAGATGGCATCTAACCCCCATCCTGAATCTTTCCAAGTCACTGCAATAGTTATTCGTAAATTTTCAAAAATTCGTACGGATTTTCCAAAGATCTATCACAAGTTTTCACGCGGAAATTGTGCTAAAACTTTTGTTTATCACCCAGAAATAGACAGTGCAAAAATGTCTTTGAGGAAAACTTCTCTGAAAAAGCGGAGCATTAACCAATGATTTTCTGTGAGCCACCAAAACCAAAAAATAAAATAAACAAACATAAAAACATTGGGGGCAATTATTTAAAAAAATTTAATTTTCCATCTTTTCCGCTGCTTCGATGCACTGATCCTACCACACTCATTCACGTGTTCACATGAGTTTTAGGAGAATAAAATCGAACGTATTATTGTTCATTTTAAAATTGAACTGAGGTCAAATCTCTCTCTCTCAAAAAAACAAGGAATTTAATGTCAAAATGTTGCGTGACCGCAATTACACAAAATCACAAAAGGCAGCAAATTGAAAAAAAGGCAAAATTTTCCTAGTAAAATCGGAAAAAATTCAAAAACCCCATACCTGAAATAAAGAACCTTGTCGGGCCCATTATAAACAGGCTCAGCAAGAGTCAGGGCCTGCAACAGCCACAAGACCACGAACACCACTCCCATCCTCGGGTCCGAGTAAAAGAACAGGATGACATTCGCAGCCTTCACATAAACAAAGGCCGAGCTGATGTACGCCACCAGCGAAGTGGACCCGGCTCTTCTGTTCCTGAACATAACAATAACCATGAGGAAGAAGAGGATTTCGGATTCGCGGAAGTCCAGCTGGCAACCCTGCTCAGGAAACAGGAAGTTGCACACTGGGGGCACAGAGCGCAGGACCAGGTAAGAGCAGCAAAGCAGGATGTTCACTAGGTAGTAGACGTGAAGCAGCTGCTTCAGATCATCCTTCCAAGCCATGATTTATAGCTGACGACTCGCTTCTCAACCACACGAACACCTTTGTGCATAAAAATTACAATACAATATTTACTCAAATTCAATTGGTTCCAAAAACATGTTTGTTGTCAATCAAAAAGTTAGTTGACCAAATTTGATTTTCCTACCAACTTCAAGGGAATAATTTAATCTGTTTTCTGAACCCAAAAGACAATTGAACACTGAATATAAAAAATTCAAGACCATCAACTATGATCAGAATAAGCTGTTGCTGCATCTTATCGTACATGCCCAGATTGTTTTCACTGTGTTATACAGAAGTAGAACAAGTGCAGGTAACCCTTGAAATTTTTAAAGTTGCATACCGACCAAAGAAACTTATTCTTTTTTTCCTCAATTTCGAAAAGAAAGGTACACGTGGTACTTGAGTGAATACACTAGTACAGAGAGCTCATTTCAATCTGAATAAATTCTAAAATACAATATTCCTTCGTTTTCTCTACAGCACAGGTATATAAAGAGAAAGTTGCAGGATTTACATTTTTTGAACCCAAAACAAACCTGTCTAGATTCAATCGTCGTAATAGCTCGGAATGTCGTCAAATGAGTATCCGCGGTGTCCACGAAAGGCCAAATAAGCGATTCTAACGTGATAAGCCCCAGGTACGAACATCAACGCCCCAACAAGAATCAGTGGCCAGGTCCGGTCAGCATACTGAAAATACCAGACGATTCAAATGAATATTTCATGAAATTGAAAAACGCAGCTTTTTTTCGATGCAAGAAAGATAAGGGATACAGTGAAATGGAGACCCTGAGAAGTCAGAATTTCAAGCACAGTGTGTTTCGAATACTGAGTTGAATAGGTCGGCAGTAGGACATCAAAAGATAGACAGGGAATATTCAAATTATTTCTCATCATTCGAAAACAATCCCTTATAAACGATGTACCTTCCTTTCTCGAAGACTTTCACGCTCAAACCTCTTTGACTCGAATTTTCCGGAAGCATTTTAGCGATTATTTCATTGACACAGGAAAAAGAAAAGCAATAAAAAGGTAACGTGATGCTTTTAGAAAGGAATTTAAAGAGTAATTGGTCAAAGAAACCCTTGCTTGCTTGTTCAGCCTCCTGTCAACTTCTTTACAAGACAGTTTTGGACCAATGAAGATCCCGTATTTAAGCTTACTTTCGATGATTTAAAAAAAAAGGTACTTTCTCCAACGCGAGTTTTTTTTCCGCTGCTCCCTTGGAATGAATACTCGCGACATCTACTCCAACTTTTAGAACTTCGCTCTCGCAATGGACAAGGGGCAATCGGGCATTCAATGAACTGAACCTTTCTCAGTAAATTTATGGGCCACCTATGCAACTGAAACTCGGTTTCCTGGACTAAATTACCTTTTCTTCTATTTTTCCAGCTACAATCAAGGACCCCAGAACCAGCAACAAAGTTCCTCCAAGGAATAGCACAACTGCAAAACCGATTGCTTTCCAGGGGACTCGCTGTTTTGGCTTCGCTTCAAACTGAAATGAACAAAAAACATTAAAAATAACCACGTCAAAAAATGTTTCAGTGCCACCAAAAAGCACCTTAACAATGGCTTACACGAAGGTCTTCGGTGTTGTCTGGCTCGTCTGCACCAGATTTCTCACTCAACGGCGTGTACTTGACGTTTCTGAATCTACTCATGACAAACCCTCATAACTCCAGACCATCATCACTTCAAAATACCTGCGTCAAAGAGCATCACAATACATAAAAATAATGATTCTTGACGACTACCCAAAACAAAACAAAAAAACCTTAAAAATCATCGGCATGATGTATAATCGCATCAGAAATTATTCGAATGAACAAAACAATTTTTAGGCATGGATGCGAAGTCATGTGCCGCAAAAAAGCACACTCTTACGCCCTGTTGCAACCAAATAAGTCACAACATCAACACAAAACGTCTCTGGCACGAATTTCAAACGGAAAACACGTCGACTTCATCTAACTTTGTCATCAAATCACAGGCCGTGACAACGGAGTCCGACAATACAGTACACTGCGTAAAATTTTGCCAAGAATTGATGCACTTCACGAACGGACCCACGCTCAAAAAAATTCATCAGACCACAGGTAACATTGATAAGATACTGAACATTTACCAACAAAAATCGTCATCAATGCAAAACTACGAATAAGTCGAACTGAATTAACAGTGTGAATTTTTTTTGGCATAAGAATAAAGAACAGAAAAACGGCTCTGTTTACTCAAATGCCCAACACTTTGCTGCCTTGAATGTCAAAAAGGTGTCGCCCGCAATTTTCACTTAACCTCGAGCTGAACTGAATTAACCTGAATTGACCCAAAATAAACCAAAATGCAGGCGACACCTATGAAACAGCAACAACAAAAATCGCCGAGCGTTGAAGTTAAAAAGAAAGAAACCCATTTTTCAGACTCGCGTCGATAAAACGCAGATGCACCAAAAGAAGTCAGTGACTTTGTCACGAACTTCATCAAAATATTCCGCACAGCGAAGCCCGAAACCAGAGAAATCCACGTCAAGGGAAAAATTCCGAACCAAACCGGTACAAATTTCTGATCACCACACAGCATCAGACAAAGTAAAAAAAAAAAATTGCAACAGGGTTCCGAAAATTCACGGTTGCACCAAAATTTCGCTTGTTTTTTTCTTATAAAATCACTCCACAAGCAACCAAAATATCGTCCACAATTTAAATATACAAAAGGATCTAATGAAAATTCATGACGAAAAAATGTTCGACACTGCACCAGATCTAATTTTTTAAGCAAAAAAATGTACCAACATTTTGCACGCCAAAAATGTTCCTTTTGCACTGGCGAAAGCGCCTTTGAACAAAAATCAATTACAGTACAGGGTTTAGATTTCTTCTCTTCGTCATCGTCCAAGGTGAAATCATTGTTTGAATCAATCAAACAAAGCTCGTATCCCCAACTGAAGAAGTCCAGGCTTTGAGAAGAAATTCTCACGCTTGTCTTGTAAGAAAAAAAAAAACGGGTTTCAGGAATTGGCTCTTTTTCCGGTCAAGACTTGTCTTCCTTCCATCTCACGACAAATTTCCTTGTTCATCTTTGTCTTCGTCACCCCTAATAAAAAAAATTAAATAAATTTCTACACTGATTTGCTGTCATCGAATACAGTTGAACTCTTTCTTTCTACGACGAAATTCGAGGGACCAGAAAAAATTAAATGTAGAGAAAATTTCGTTGTAGAACCCAGCATAAAATTTGGAATTAACCCTATGGGTCAAAGGAACCAAAACAAATTCGTTCTGCAGAGTAACTCGTTGTAAAGAGAGTCCCCCCTCCCCCGTAACACCAAGAGGTTCACAGCCAGCCGAGACTCACACAATAATATCATCGCCGACATCGACTCCGACCGACACCAAGTCGTCCAGCAATCGCAACGTGCATCCTCCTCCGACGTCTCCAATATCCAAGTCCACGTCCGTCGTCGGGTCGTCCTTTCGCAATCGGGCCAAAAGTCGCAGGGCCTCGTCGTAACTAGGCGGCGCCAAATACACCTCTTCGTCGTCGACTCGCTCTCCGCCGTCCCGATCGTCCAACCCGTTAATGTCTCCACGAATCGTCAGTGTCGTCGTCGGCGACTCACAGGATGTCGTCGGCGTCGTCGTCGGCATTCCCAAGGCTACTTCGTACGACGGCGGCAACGTCAGCACACTGGGATTCCTGTCCATTCGTCTTTCGTGCTGCAACTCCTGTTTAAAAGCATGTGGGAAAAGCGGAATGATGAAAGGATTCTTTAATCATTTCGGTATTTCCCTTGGATTCAGTGAATTCTTTCGCGATACCGGTCAACCTCTTCAAATTAAACTTCAAGGGACGAACATCAAATTTATAATCACGGAAATGAGCATTTCTGTTCGGGGAAAGAAAGTAGAGTTAAAGAAAATTGTAATTGGTGATATTCAGGGCCTTGAATTGGTGCGTGAATGAGTTGGCAGGACCCTGAACTTGGAAACAAGGGTTCATTAGCGCAATTGGTCTTCCACTTCCTTTCAAAACGCATCAAGAGACATTTTTATTGATTTTCTCTTTCCTCTGTAAATAAAATGATAGCCAGAAGGCCTTTAGAAAATCCGAGTTATGCAGGCTTTAGAGTCTTCAAATCAGGTACTGTATGTTTTTAATACAGTAAATGGTTTCGGAGAGAATTCAGACAGGGACTCGAAAAAAAAAATCAAAATACAAAGAGGTATTCGACTTAACAAAGTTCAACTGTATCATAAAAGCGTCTCTCAAATGTTGAAACCTTTTACAGAAGGCCCTGATTACCTTTCCATATTTGGAGCCAAGTTGACTTGAATTCAATCAATTCTACTGGGTCAGTACAGGTAAAATGGAACAACAAACAAAGTTACAAACCCAGTTGAGGATGTTCTGAAGGCGCAGAACCTGGAAGAGCATCTTCTTGCGTCGCATGTGCAACACGGCCTTGCAGCACACGAGCAACCCCGAGCAGACAAAAATGGGACCCAGGAGCCACACGTGCTCGGGCATCGGCCTGTCCCTCGGCCCAAACACCGCCGAATAGTTGACAAAGCCAAAGACCGTCACAAATGCGCCGACGCCAAGTAGGACGACACTAAGGGCAAAATAAAGCGCCGACGTCGCGTCGCACCTTCCCAGGGCGCCGTCGTCCGACGTGCAGCAATTGAGCGACTGTGACAACGGCGCATTGGCGCCCACGTCTCGCACCAAATCCGCCAGCAACTCGGCGCGACGCGACCGAGGCGCCTCCGAGTAGCATTGGGCCTCGGCGGCCAATTGGTCTCGGGCGCGGCGGCCGAGTCGCAGCGTCCGCGCGTTCACGCCCAACACTGCGAGTCCGTCCCATTGCCGGCCGACGTCGTAGGGACGTCGCGACGAGAAGGCGGCCGATGATGATGACGACGACGCCGCCGACGACACTGACAACTGCTGGTGGCGCCGACTCCGCTGCGACGACGCGTTGAGTTGGCCCAGGAAGAACGTCATTTTCTATTTCACTCTTCACACTTCAGTTAACGCATTGCTCGAATCGGGCATTCACAAAATAACTGCGGAAAAAAAAGAAAAAAAAACTTTCAGATGGTAACTCACAGACAGGCTGAATCGAAGGAAACATCGATCAAACAAATGCTGTGCAAGGGTGTTAGTTCAAAAATTTCAGCTGTTTTCCACGTCACCGATGAGATTTTCCTCCTCTTAGTATAAATTCATGGTGTAATTCGACTTACGTGAGAGGGGTCTAACAAATGTTCTCGGAATCGACATTGAAATGGGATAAGATTGGCCTGAAAAAAAAAAGAATGTTCAGAAAAATAATTCTTTGTCTGCCAAGGAATGATTGTGCATTCTTTACCTCTCTGAAAAAAAATATGCTCAACAAAGTGCATTTTGTTTTTGTTTTTTGTGCCAAAAAATATTTTTTCTAAACAGGAATTGTTTTTCAGCTCGATCATACATAGTTTCAATTTCTATTCCGAGAACTTTCGCTAGACGAAAATTCGGATAATACCCCTTAAAGCTCGTTATTGCGTGGAAAACCAAAACTTTAAAACAAAACCCCAGCACAACTCTTCCTGAATATTCCCTCTCTCGGTAATAAAACAACCACAACGCATTGTTTCAAGAAACATTTCAAATGAAAGTTTGAACACACGAAAAAAAAACTCAGAAACGAGAGAAAAACGGAGTGACTTGTAAATTTGCAACACGTAAGTGTGTTTTTTTTTCTTTTCTTGTCCCCTTCCCTCCTCCTCCCTTTTTTGATCACAGGATAAAGTCATACGACATACGCCATTACCGCCTCACTAGCCTAAACCCTGTTTCATTAGACCTTTTTTCTCTGCCACGACTCCGTTTATCACGTGGGTAATTTTTCTTGCTTGATCCGACTTCAGTGTCAACTTCCCAATCACATTCTGCTTCCTCGTTCCATTCCTCAAGTTCTGCTCCACCAACCAGCTAGAAAAAAGGAAAACTCTCGATTACATAATTAATAACACTAGAGAATCGCGCGGAAAACGAGGTTCGAGTCTCCTGAATATGGGTCAATTGTTCTTCGCAGTGTTCAAAAATAAAATGTGCAGTGGAAAATAAGTTAGCTCACACTTCATTTTTAATCGCAGATGAAACGCGAATAGAAAGTTAACCAAAATTCGTGGTCAATGCGTCCAAGTTTTACAGGCTCTCGGGAAAAAGAAAACAAAATGGCCCTGTTCGAAAATATAATTCGAAAATTATTGCAAGAGACAAAGCATAAAAATGCATCTTGTCAATTATAAATTTCTCACAGCGTATCACAAAGACGTCAACGGGACATAATTATTCTAGTTACACATGAATTACAGTACAGTATTTCACCATAATATTTCTCGAACATCAGTGAGGTACAAGCTTCATTTGTCACTTGTGAGCGTTCAAAAAGTTCACAAAATTTTCCCACTTCATTCCAAGAAAAACATCAAACTCTGAATTCTTTGCAGTACTGATGTAAATTTTTTTTTCAAGAAGCTTTGATTTTTTGATTACCTTTTTATTGGACACAATTTAAATTTTTTCCGATTTTCTTTACATGATGAAATAGTTCTTATGGTCTGTCCGTCGAATCAGGGGAAAAATAATTATGATATTTCAGATAAGCATTACTTTGTTAAAATGAGATTATTACACATTGCTCCTATGAAAAAACCAGTGGGACCAAAATCTATGCGAAAAAAAATCGTTCTAACGGAATTTTACTTTTGTATTTTAGGGAATTTCAGTTTTTACTTCATAAAAACATAAAGAAGTGAATTTTTTTCGATCAGGAACGTGTGCTCACCATTGCAGCTGAATTAGTCACGATGGTAAATTCATGGCGAAAAGATAAAAAAAATAGAATCAGCAACAACAATACTTGCCAATGGTTCAGCCTCATCCGGATCAAAACTGAGGCGGTTGCCAGCGGACGCCCTCCGGTTTTCGACAGGCGCCCTTGGCAGAGAAAATGCCGGTTCCGGCGCCACTCGATCAGCGCAAGCTGGTCGGATATCCGAAAAATAATCCACGTCTTCCCGGTTTTCCTCAGCTTTGTCCGAACTCTTGTTCATGGCCTGCTTCAAGCTCGCTCGGTAGTCTTCAATCTTTCTTTGGATGGGGTCCACAGGTTTGCTGAAATCCTGACCCCATTCTTTCCATTCCCTCTGTCAAAAGATATTGAACTAAAATTTAATCACTTTTTCCTCTTTCCAATCGGCTTAAAATAAATGTAAGCAAGTAACATAACCGCGACCAAAATATTTAGAGATTTGCCACTATTATCATCAGGAAATAAAATTATCGAGAATGAAGGAGGGTTGATCAAGGCAACAAGGTGTGAATACAGGCAAACACTTGCCTGCATAGATAGTTAGTTTTTCATGTAAAAATATAAAATAAAATTATGTTTCACGAAAGCTCACATCAGATGCCTGGACAACGATACCACTCAGACCGTCTTCACCCTCAGAAGCTCTCAGCTTTCTTTTGAAGCAACACAACGCCCTTCTGAGCACACCCAAGAACAGGGTGAACAAGTACCTCAGCTTTCCCATGACACCCATGTTTCAAAAGCTCACTTTGCCAAGAGAAAAAATCACATTCTGAAACAAAACAATACATCAATAAAAACCATCTACAGACTCATGAAAAAAACGAAGTGAAAAACCGGAGTAAAAAACAAACAGTTTGTTCCTTGTTGCACAGAAACAGTTTCAAAATGAAAACACGGAAACAGGAATAAAATGCCACAGCTGAACAATTCGTAAAACCCAACTAGCTTTTCGTTTTCAGAGATGAGCGTAATAACGAAAGTACCAAAAAACTCAATTCCACACACAAAAAGAGAAATGCTTCAATCATTGAGATCTCCAACTTCTTCGAAAGCCTCCCGATATCTTGCAGGCTTCTTGCCATGATAAAAACGTTCTCCACACCATGCCCATGACAATCACACTTGGAAAACTGATCCTATGTCGGAGACTAGGTTTTTTTCTTTTTTTATAAGCTACCAGGACCATTTCAGAGAGCAGTTCCTGGGAACCCTGAAACTTCATTAGTTGCTTCTTGGCCAGAGATAACTGACAGGTTATCTCTACGACCGCTTCCAACTCGACGGGGCTGCGAACCAACCTACAATGGAGCAAACGAACACATCAATAAAATTTTACAACCAGATAAAGCTTCAAAAATCAATGCTGTACACTATTTTTGCGACGAAATAATTCAACTAAAAAACATTTTCGATTACACATCGCAGGATGAAACGACTAGAAGTCTGATTGACTCTATAATAATATTCCGATATTTCGACGCAAAATTGCAATTATGTTTTAAAAGTCAACTGAATTGTCCAAAATGAAAAAATAAGATCTGAAATCAATTTGCACAAACTACTGTAGGATTGTTGGACCGCTAAAATTCAGCTCGGATTCAAATTTAATTCCAAACGAGTCTCGTAAAACAAAACAAATATAATGAAAGTATATTTTTAAGATTTTTTCCTTTCTTTCCAAGCTTTGGCATTCGTCGAAAACGGCTTTCCTGAGTTTTCAGATTTCAGTTGTTCTTACTTAAAAGGTTACTTCACAAGTTTTTTTTAAACTACTTCATTCATCAGTGAAAAAACAAAAATAAAAAAACAGTTTCCTACAAAAACCGCAACAAAAATCCCTTGGTTTCTAGATTAAAACCATAAATTTTAGGAATCAGAAGCACCACGCCAGAGAAAAGAAAACTTTCCTCAAAGCGTAATAACTGTAGATTAAACAAAAACTTTCTTTCTGAGTGTTTGATTGATTCAATTTTACAAAAAATGCGCAGTGAAATGAAAAATTGCGTCTCAGATCAAACCTGGGGAGTGCTTCTTGTCCCAGCTCTCTTGGTAACCCTGATGACTCTTCTGGCATGAGGGTCAGCAGGGTGCACTAGCTGGTCTTTTTCCAGCCATTGCACGTACTTTTCGTACTCCCTCAGCCTTTTGGCATCCACGAAACTGATGAGACACGAAACGGGTATCCAGAGGATGATGGACACGATCAATACAGTGCCGACGATATTATCCCTCAAGAAATACAGCACAGAGTTGATGGAAATGTCCTCAATGATGTCCCAGAATCTCTCCACAATATCTTGCACGGTTTTCTCACACATGCCCTGTAAAATTGTATTCCAGTAAATAAGAAGTCATTCGAGTACCAAGCGCAAAGTTATTTCCAGAAAGTGGGGCAAACAAGTAGGAGCGCGTCATAGTCAAGGAAAAATTTGTTTAAATTTTGACATTTCCCCACTTGAACATGCGTTGAAACATATCTTATTCAATAATTTACGCTTGGGATAAAAACAGCAAAATTGGACTCAAATTCAAAGTACTGTATTAACTCAAGTACCACGCGCACAGTTTTTTCTTCAAAATTGAGAGGGAAAAGGGGGGTGTGGGTCATACGCAGGAATACAGTTTTCAAAAAAGGTTGCAAGTTTAGGTGCGCGTCAAACTTGAATATAATGAGGAATTTTTGACAGGAACTCTTCAAAATGAAAACAAACGAAAATTAATTGAATTCGTGTTCAAATTTGAATTCTGGGACAGGAGGTGTGAGTCTTATTTGGGGATACGATTTCATAAGAATTTCTGGGGGGAAAAAAATTTGGGCGTGTGTCTTACTCAAAGGCATGCGGTACTCGAGTAAATTAAGTATTCAGCAAATTTAGCACTCCATGTCAAAAAATTCTCAGTTCTTGTTTAAAAAAAAATTAGATCATTGATTTGGTCCTGGTGATTTCACAGAACTGCTTCTGTTAACGACACTCACGTCTTTGCAATAGCCAACCATGCAAGGAGTTCCATTAGGCAAAATATCCAGAGGATCCACTGGGAAGCACGTATCATTGAGATGAGTCCGGCAGCAACGCTTGCACGCGTTTTCCACTGTTAAAAATGAAACATCATGACATCAAATTGCAGGATAATTGACATCAAAAATTATGCGACGGATGGATAACTTTAAAAAGTTAGACGCAGATGACTGAGGTCTCAACTCACACACGTCACACATGCAGCTCTGCAAACTGGGTTTTTGCGACTCGCAAAAAGGCAAACATTTGCCTTGGTAACAAGTGCCTTTTTCAATGCACGGTGTTCCATCTGGGAGAGGCGGAGATGGTGGACACTCAGCTCCATTTCCTGAATGACAAAAAACCGTGCATTAAAAAAAAGCTTTTCACTTCGACACCTTCTTGAATGTCATACAGGTGACGCTCCTAATTGAACGAATTTGCTAAAAAATTCATCAAATATTTTGGACTTGATCTTTTATCAAAAATATACTTTTACTAACTATTTTCTGAAACTTTAATACTTTATTTTAACATAATAATGATTTTAAAATTTGTAGGCCTTTGACATGTTTTACATAATTATATTCATACTGTAATCATTATTTGTTTTAAATTACAATAAAAGCATGAGCTTCTACATTTGTATTATAAATTTGATCATTGTCAATTAGAAATACTGTACCTACAACAAGATTTGTTGAATTAAGATTGTAATGCATTAGCCTAATTTCATTTTGACCTCCTAGTAAGCTAAAACAAATTAATAACCAATATAACTAATTCTCGCTAACGCCAGAAAACGTGACGAGATTTCGACGAAATCTACGAACCACGTTAAGCATCGAAATTAAATACTGTTTCAAGCAAAATTTTCCTGTTTCATAACGAAAAGATCTGTTCACAGCTAGAACCAACGAAACTCACCTGTACACCTGGCTTCCTTCTCACAGGTACCCCTTTGAGCATCCCTGCATTTGATACCCGAGCTCATAAATTTGCAATTCCGACAACAGGGAGAATTTTTGTCAGAACATTTGGCTCCTCTGTCGGTGCGCAATTTGCACGTCTTGTCGCAACAATTATCCACGTCTTCGGTTCCCACGAGACCCGCATCGCATTCTTCACCTTTTTCCACTCGCAAGTTTCCGCAAAAAGATTCTTCAGGTTCCGTAAAACACCTAAAAGAGAGGAAAACGTTCAATTCTTCAGTCCTCAAAAACTATACAGAAAATAGAGGAAATAATGGCTTGCCTTCAATTCTGTTACTGGTGCAAAAAAATATATAAAAAAGAGTGCATGAAATATATCAGTTATAAATACTGCACTCGAATTTTTCAAGTTTTGTACAAAAGGAAAATAACCCTGATCTTGAAAGGCGTGAATTTAAAAATGTCACTGCAACTGAAAAGACATACAGACAACTTTAATTTTCCTGCTTTCACCAAACGAACGCATTAACTTAAGCAAAGAAGAGTTGAATCTTCAACACATTCTTTCTGGATCAATGTTGCCTGTATCACTAACCTGACCAGATATAATCTACATGTGATTATTGTAAAAGAAAATAATTCTTCAAGAGCATCACTGACTCCAGCATTTAAATTGAATAAATTCAGAAAATTCGTGCGTTGCAAAATGAATAACCAAACTTTCCCACAGGGATTCTTGACACTTACCTCGAGCTTTTCGCAAGCAAAACGGCCCTAATAGATCGCAGACTGCAAGGCGAGAATTTCTTGTTGTTGTAATCGTAACCAGAAACGGAGTACGTGTACATGAGATACGATCCTCCTTCAGAGGCCTTTGGCGAGCATTCCGGCAAATCCGGGTCATGCTCGCTGCCCCAATTGTGCCCAAATTCATGAGCCGTCACCAAATCCGCTTCCCGGGTGATCACACGTTGACCATAATGATTTCGAGATGACGAAAGGCCGGAGTTTAAATAAAGAGTGTAACCGTTCTTAAAATATTCTGGAGTGCAGATTCCTCCGACTGAATTCCGACGCGGGGATCCCACATATGCCAAACCTAGGATCCCGCCGTCGAATTTGATATCCGTGAAGAGGTGGGCCAGGCAGAAATTCTTGTGCGCGTACTGCCGCGAAAAGACCTACAAAAAACACAATAGGAATGATTTAGAAGTGAAAAAAAAAAAAGTGCCGCGAAAAGACCGAAAAAAAAAACGCCACGGATTTTAATGCATTCAACATGAATTATTCTCGCTTCGGACGTTTTTTTCATGTCAGGAAGACGGTCAACGAAATATTCCGAACGAAAGTGCGCATTTTTAAAAGCTGAAGGACATTAGGGTACACAAACCTCAAGAAGACTGCGAACGTCCCACGAAGATCGTTGCATGTTGTAATGCGAGTCTGATGGAGCGATTCTCGTCACTTCCGGGTGCACAATGATTTTCTTAATGACGAATCCCATGCCGGAAAATCCTTGCTGAGTTGGACCGTCCCGCCATTCAGTTTCTGTATAAATCTTATGCACTCGGTCAATCAGGCTGATTAGGTAATTAATGGTAGTCTTGGTCGATCCGCCGCCCATTTCTTTGAAAAATCTGTAGTCGGCTACAAGCAACAACGGACACCGAGTTTTCCGAAGTTGGAATTTATACGCTTCCGCTTCCTGTCGCTTCGTTCGCATCTTGGCTTCTTCTTTTTCAGGAGCCAAATCTACAGAAAAAAAAAACAAAATTGTGATTCAACATTGAAAATTAAGGACAATACGAATTTTCTAGGCACTGAAACTTCACAATTCAAGAAATGAACTAGATCTCCATCGTCCATCCTGACAATGAATCATTTCAGTACTTGTATATATGCGACTACCAGCAATAATATGAATTGATCTTTAAAATAAGTCTCTATTAACTCGTACTATGGGCTAAATTTTTGAAAATCATACCGGCATTTCTGAGGCACTTTTAGGCGAAAATCACACAAGATCACAGCAAAAATCTGAATTTCTTACAGAACAGTAAATTTCTAAAACACGTCGTATAAAGCAAATGTACACGTGAATTTAAAAAAAATAGCTCACCGTCTGCTGAATGATCGTGGTCTTCGTGATCTTCGCCTTCTTTCACGTACCCACAAATTCTTCCGGGTTCTCCCTTTTCATCCGCATTTTCCCAGCTGAATTTGATATCACTTCCACGATAGACAATCATGGATTCATTGCCAGAGTCGTTCAGATGACGCCACGAAGGCTGTAGGCAATAAGTTCGACATTATCTCATTCTGACATTAAAAATTGTTTTTCAATGCCTCTCAGAAAAACGAAGTCCGTGAACTGTTTTCAAACATCTCATTAAGTATTTCTAAATTTATTCACACCTTCCCAAATAAGAGATTAAAAAATGGAGAAAAAAAGTTGATAGAATCATTACTTCAATGTGATAGGTTTCATCCGGGGTTTCAATAGACGCAGTGAGCAAACCGTCTTCGAGGTACGCCGTCACTCGTGACCCCTTTTCTCCAGCGACTTTGCCCTCAAAAAAAGTATCTTCGTCGACATAAACGGGTTCTTCTTCTCCATCTTCTTTCATGACTGCAGCCTCGAAGTCTTTATCAAGCACTCCGCGCCTCGGACTCAGCATCAAATTGAACTCCTTGCCCATTGCCTTACAGGGAAATAAAGTTAATCGTTTAAGAAGTAGGCATACTCCGAATCAATTGCAAAAGCGACAAAATTGGTAAGGTTAACCCGGAAATCAACACGTATGATATACAATTTAACCTCGATAAAACCTCCCCAACTCAAAGGTTTCCCTCTCAAAACTATATAACTCGAATTATTTGGAGGCCTTTTGTCCAATATTTTATTGACACAGGAAAGAAAAAGCAATAAAAAGGTCAAGTCATGATTTTCGAAAGGAAGTGAAAGATAAATTGGGGAAATGAACCCTAGCCTCCTTGTACAGCCTTCTGTCAACTCAATTGAGAATTGAGGTCCAGAATATCACCAATGACACCTCCCTGTAATTTTTTCCTTTTCTGAACAAAAATGCATGTTTTCAAGCAGTTTTTCAACTCAAAACTTCTGTAGATCAGATTTTTCTACTGCTCCATCGAAATTCGACTCGAAGAGATTCGACTTTAATCCAAGCCTAAATGCAGCAGTCGATGTCATAGGGAAAATTTTGATTGATCCCATAACAGAAAATTGCAGTATTTCGGCTTACTTTGAAAGATAGTTCCTTCAGGGGTACACCTGCAGGATGTGTGGGAGTGCGTTGATCAGTGTCTCGTTTCATCCTCTCATGGCTGAGTTCAGACGAGTGTAACACTTCAAAATGCCGAAGGTTTTCGCGGAGGTCGCCAGTAACGACACAGAACACTGTTACTAATACGAACACAACGCGATACATCTTAACACGCTTTCTCCCTCCAAACCATCCTGTGAATATAAAAACATGATCAGTTCTTTACGGAAAACCATCCTTCACTTGATACAGGCGAAACTATACAAAGCCACACGTTCTTATATTTAAAAATTCACGACACAAGACCAAGATAGTCGTCCATTAAACTACCAATCACAAAAATGTCAGTGGCGTTAATTCGGGTGCCGACGATTTTGACTCGAATTTCGTCTTCGGGAGAGATCATGATATCCTCGTCCTTAGTTTTGTAGCACGGGGGATTCGAATTGGCGTCGAATTCCATGTCCGGAGGAATCGAGTGACGGCTGATGAAGCATGACAACGGACCGACTTGCGTGAAAAGTCCGACTTTGTTGACCTGCCGCAGAAATTTTGAAGAACTTCTGACGAAATATTCAAGATTTTCAATGTACAATACCTGAACTACGATTGCATCCACAACTTCTCCTTTGAATGGCCGGAAAACAATTGCCTTGTACTTGACTGGATAGACGACGAATCCTCGACCAGGCTCAATCAATCCTGATCCGATGTCGTCGATTGTAGTCACGGCTATAACAAAGCCGTATTTGCCAGAACACGTGCCTTCGACCTCGGTGAAGAGCTTCTGCTTGACAGTATCCATCAATTGAGGGCCGAAATACTTCGGATGCAGCTTGATTTCATGCTCCAAGGGGATGTGATAAAACATCGCTGAAGCCTTATAGCTTTTTTCTCATACAAAACACACTTCACACGTTGAATCTGGTATGAGAAACCACCACAAAAATAATTTATTCACAAAACTTTACAGATGCCCTTCGGCTTCCGAGCACGGATCCAAAATGACTACGAACGGAAACATCCGAGGGATTCATTTATTCTTCGCGAGGTATCACAGGTCTAAAGGGAAGAGTTATCCGATCACCTAGGTCAACGACCAGAATTAACGAGTAAAACAACACGTCAGCCAGAAGAGCATCATGCATAATCATCCTAAAATAAACATGCTTTCCACATCTAAAAAGGTTGAAATCCTGCCTCACTTCAACCCTTCTACCTCCAGCTTTCGGACCACATGTCAGCAGCACTTCGAACTTCTCAACTTGCTGCCTCTTCCACGCCACCCCGAGAAGGGCCACTTTCTCCCACAGTTGCCAGTGTCCTTCAGTGAGTGACTGCAGCGGCAATGATTTGGTGGTATAAATTATGAGAAGCCTTCGAGGGCAAACTAACATGGCGTATATTAAATTAATACAATTTTATGTTGGATTTTATGCTTGAAGTAAAAATTATTTGTGTATTGTCTCCTTGAAGTAATTTCGACATAAAATGTCCTATTTGAGAACGAGTTTGATTTGTGAAGCCAGTCATTATTGACATCGATGGTTTGGGTGGAAGTGGATAACTCCCTAACCAAGTGACGTGAAAGTGAGTGGCCCTGAAAGAAAAATGCTCTTGAATTATCCAGGATCCCTGCGCCCAATCCTCGCGAACTATAGCACCCATTAGTGAGGCGCAGGTCTGAAATGAGTGATCTACGCGTGCAGCTTGGATGAAGAGTCGCCATTGAGCTCTTTGTTGATAGAGCAAAGTTTTATTCGGATTAACTTTCAAATTCAGGCGCTGTTCTGTAACGAATTGATTTAAAAACACCATTTCCCAGTTTTTTCGTAATTTAACGGAGAGAACAATGAAATCCTGTTCCACTGAAAAATTCACTTCCCAGCATGGATGGTATTTCGTCATTTTAATTATTGAAAGCCTCTCTGAAAGCCATTTTTTCCTCTGCAAATACGGTAAGTCATTAAGGGGAAAAAAATGAAATCTCTTTGGAATTTTGGGGAAAAAAAGGCAATTTTCTTGAATTTGGAAATCAACGTTCAATCTATCCTTTAGCAGGCTTACTGTAATTCGGTATCAATCGTCCCTCAAGGTTTGTGGATCAATGGTGCAAACGCTTACAGTATTGCATTCCAGATGTGGTGCGGTATTCAATTTGAATATTCATAAGTGAATGTCTCAGTCGGTGTTGCCTAGAGACTTCGGAAAGAGCAATGACCCACGACTAGTTCCAATCCCAGGGAAATCGCTGCAGCATATAGTTCGTACGGGTTGAAAGACGAAGGGTGACTGTCTTGTGTATTATATTTCAGGTGTGCTTCAAAGTGGATTGCTGAAATTAATTTTTCTGTAACAGTTTTCCCGCGTCATGGTGTGATATTCGCGCCTTGTTAGACAAATCAATGAAGAGGATTGCTGCGTGTTTACCAAGTTGTGTGTCGTGTGCAACAAGAGGATGACAGTCGAGATTAATGGAGTTGACTTTTTGCACCAAGCTTTCTGCTCGTTTCTCCGTAGAACTATGAAGATAAGGATGTCTGTGCCTCAACGTTTGGCGGTTCGTGTGCAAGGGTGTATCTTCGTTAAAAATGGCAGGGATTTGGTTTAACCCGCATCGCGTTTTCATTTACTTCAAAATATCCCCGGCGGAACAGTTTAAGCATGTCGTATCCTTCAGGAAGACGGCTTAGTGTCGGCACCGGGACAAGCCCACTCGACTCATATTCCAGCGTCCGAATCCCGCTTCTGTGAGTATTCCAAAACTCAGTGTGAATCGTTTCTTGGAAAAGTAATTTACTTCGGAATTCCATGCTCCAAGAGCATGTGAAGATGTGATTATGCGCTCCCGAAGGTACGAGGTTGGCTACATTTCCACGAAGACTTTTATCTCGAAAAATAAATCAGCTTAAAAAACTTCGCTAGTCAGCTGTACCAGAGTGAACTTTTTTTTCGGAGCTGCATGGTATATTAAGACACATTTTCTGCGTAAAACATGCGAACAAGAACCGATTGGACAACTCGTATACAGTAGTCGTATCTTTTGCTGGCTGGTGTTTCTGTCGGGATTTTTCTAGTACTGTGCGTGAGAGGGGCATTTCTTACTCTATCGCATCTTCGTTGCCTTGAACAATCAATTCAGGAACGGTATCTCCTGAATTTCGAAATTCTCAGACCTATTTTTCATGAAACCCTGGGCTCTCAAGCTGGCGTTCGAGTTTAATTATGATCGCTGTGCACATGTGGCGGGTATTCAGTTTCGTTCGGAATTGAGTTGTGTATTGCTGGTTGTATCCTCATTTTCATCTCGTGAACGTGGCCTAATTCCCAAGCACGTGCGTGCGTTCGTTCCTTCTCTTGCGACGTCTGACGATCTCATAGACACGTTTCACTATGTTATCATTGACGGTCGTGCCGTGCGGAGTATGAAGTATCTTGTTTATCGTCGTCTTTCCTGAGGTTACTTTCACGAAAACCGTCCGTTGCCGATTACCTCAAGTTTTTGTAGGTGGTTTCTCTTCAAGAAAATTGTCATTTTTTTAGATCGGGCGCGGCAAGCATGGACGGCGGTCGTACGCCACCGCCGAATTATCGGAGTTTGGAAGACAGTCAGGACCCACGAATTGTTTACTGCGTACATGGGAATTTGTATTCTGTTTGTTGCATTGACGAAACTACGGGAGAAGTTGCTCGGATCCCGTCAAGATCTAGTGAGATAGTGGAAGGTGACGTAGACTTGCACGCCTCGATTGGAGAGCCAGGTGAGAACGAAGGAATTATCGTAATTATACTAATATAGACTCGTTTTCAAGCTACATTCAAGAGCTTTTTACATTTTCACGATCCATTATCAATATCTACGATTAAATGAAGGCTCAATAGAATCTCGTTGTAACGAATAATCGATTGCAACTTCGACGTTGTTGGGTCCCTCCCCTGTATATTAGCTTCGGGGCTAAATGAGTTATTTTACGACGATGAATGTTTCCTTGCAACAAAGCTTTTCAACTGATCTCAATGACGTTTTGCAAAGATATTTTGCTGTAACGCAATAGTAATCATGTGGATATTGCATTTTTCTTGACTGTACAGTCAAATCATTGATTTAATTGCATACTTTTTTGGCACTTTTCTAGTGGCACTAAGTCAAGGGTATTGTATAAGAGGAAGGTTCAGTCGTGGGCTTATGGAGAAAAAATATTGAAAATTAGTTGCATTCTGTGTAAATTCATGTCTAAATTAAAATTTTGATAGTGAAGTAGTTTTTAAATATTGCAGTTTTAGTCATTAAAAATTGTGTGCCCTACTCAGGGATACAATTTTATTCCAATTTAAGAGATAAGAACCCTGGTGCTCATCTTACTCAAGGATGTGTGGTACTCAAGAGTAAATGCAGTATATTTCAGATTATTTAATAATGCAGACTATTGTATATTAGATTTTAGCGCATGTTGTGTCAATTAAAAGAGCAGAGCTGTTTCTTCAAGTTGTGTGTCAAGCTCAAAGTAAGTTTGCAGTAAATTGGCGTTTTCCTTGAAAACATAGTCTTGGGAAGTATGTTCTAGGGACATTTTTGGCATTATTCAAGGGATGTCACTAAATTGAGGGTTGACGGTAGATTCTAACATGTTCTAAATTCGAGATTTTTCTCATCCTGGTTCCCAAACAGATCATTGCCACCAGGAGCGGGATGTTGGGCCAGATGCGTCAGCGAGAAGAAAACTCATCATAGCTTCAGTATTATGCTTGCTTTTCATGGTTGGCGAAGCCGTTGGTGGAGTATTGGCCAACAGTTTGGCCATCGCAACAGACGCTGCTCATCTGCTCACGGACTTCGCTTCTTTCATGATCTCTCTGCTGGCCCTGTGGATTGCTGGGAAACCCGCGACGAGGAGCATGAGTTTCGGCTGGTACAGAGCCGAAGTGATCGGGGCTCTGACGAGTGTGCTCATGATCTGGGTCGTCACTGGCATCCTGGTTTACATGGCCTTTGAGAGAGTTATGCAGGACAATTTCGATATTGATGCTCAAGTCATGCTGATTACGTCTGGGGTTGGGGTTGCTGTGAACATTTTGTGAGTACTTGATGGGGCTAATCCTTTTTTCCGTGTTTTATGTCGTTTTAAAATGAGCTACTCTGGACCATGGAGGAAATCAATAGGTCTTTGCATAGCAAACTTGGTGCATTCCTGCTGAAGATTCGTGATGCAAAACGCGATTTTTTCTGAGAACTTATGTTTAAATGTTTTAAAATGTCCTGGAAATTGTTTTTAGAACAAACTCGTTTATTAATTTTTATAATTAAAAGGCAGAGAGCAAATGCCAGTTTTGTCTAGAAACACCTATAAACCGTTGTCATCTTGTGCTAGTAAAAACTTTTCACTGCATAAAAAAGAAAGAGGCCAAGTGTTGACTGTCAACTGTAAATTGTGGTAGAATTTTCAAATGTGTAGTCGAAAGTCAATTTAGTGACATCTTTTGTCCCGGCACATTTTGGGGCATTATATCAAGGTAGTTTATGAAAGAAATTTTCAGTTGAGGGTTTCTAGTCTGGGCAAAATATTCATGTCTACAGAGTTGTGAAACCACTTAGTCTGTTCTATACAAGAGAAAGCACAAAAAATAATTGTAAGCTCAAATGTACTGTTGGTAAGCTGTATTTCAATATATTCAATAAGCCAGAATGTGTTAGATTTTTACATACTGTATGTAGTATTGGCAAGTAAAAGAGCAGACATGTTTTATAAAGTCTTTTTTAGTTTAGCATCAGATGCCATCGTTCAGGAAACACCAATGGTTCCAGGAAAGCCTCCTTTTCAATTATAAAATTTACAATGAAGTAAGGTATCATGTAACAACAAATATATATTCAACAATGGAAATTCAGAAATAGATTTTTCAAAATTATCCTGAGTTTTTATTTGAGCAAAATCATGTTATTCTCAGCAATAACCCAACGGTATGCGTTTGAAAAATTTCCTCAATTTATTTTATTTTGGACAATTTTTCATCCAAGGCGAGGTATTTTTTGTGGCACTTAATTGAGATTTCCCTCAAATGCACAAATGTGCGAGACTTGTTCCATGGAAAATTTTGGTACTGAAATTGGGGTTCACCGTATTTATGTGTTAATTCCAGCATGGCTCTGACGTTGCACGAACATGGCCACGGACACAGTCATAGTCACAGTCACAGCCACGATGATCCCAAAGCAAATTCAGAGCCACAAGGTGTAGAAAATGGGAGCTGTGAAGTTTCAGTTCGCGAACAGCCGAGTGGCCATAGTCATCATTCTCATCAGAACATCAATGTCAGAGCTGCATTCATCCACGTCATTGGGGACTTTATTCAAAGCGTTGGAGTGTTCATTGCTGCTCTGGTCATTTATTTCAAGGTTTGGATTCAATTTTTGATTTCCACATTGAGGCATTCTTCATAGTTTTTTTTTTAATTGAAGTTTTGCGTGACCAGGAATTTTTCAGTTCACTGCCCAGAGTCCAGTGCTGTTCAACTCAGATGTGGTTGAGGGGTGCACTATTGCATTTTTTTGTTCCCTGTCCCTATAGCCTCAGTTATTTTTTTTTCCTTATTTGAAAAATGTTTGCTTTTACTATAATACAGTTTTTTTCATGTCCAAAAAATGCTTTGTTATTAAAAGATTCTACTGTATATTGATGTCCATAAATTTGACTCTCCATCTTTTTCATGTAGAAGTAGGCTCAGTGCTGTTCAACTCAGATACAGCCCAGGGCCACATGGGTTCATCTTCGGTGGCCAAGGGCTTCATTGCATTAGTGGTGGCCTTGCTGGCCTGAATAGAACATAAAATTTTTTAATTCCAAATTTTACCTTTTTAGATGAAAAGTTCCAAATTTACTTCTGTACTATGTATTGAATCACAAGTGTAGCCTTTTTTTTTTAGAATTTTGAAGGGTGGAGCAATTCTTGAATTGTAAAGTTCATTTGTCCGTATACACGAGTACAGTACTGAATTTTGGCAGCTGCCATCTTGAACATTTTAGGAAAGAGACTGCAGGACGGTTGAAGAGTCTCTGTGGGCCAGAACTGGCCCACGTGCCAAATGTTGGACAGCACTGGCCTAGACCCATAGTGTCCGAATTATTTTCTTCACGGAACGGATTTAAACTTTTCTTTGACTGCTACAACAATTTTTTTTATTGATTGACGTGTGATTTATGGAATCTTTTTCTTTTTTCAGCCTGAATGGAGACTTGTGGATCCGGTGTGCACTTTTCTCTTCAGCATCCTCGTGCTTCTCACCACATTTGCCATAATGAGAGACACGCTCACGGTTTTGATGGAAGGCATTCCTAGAGGAATAGATTTTGCAGCAGTGGAGAAATCGTTCTTGGGCATTGATGGTGTCGTTTACGTGCACAACCTGAGGATCTGGGCCTTGTCCATGGATAAATCCGCCATTTCAGCGCATTTAGCCATTCAACCGGGACGAGATCCGCTAAAGGTTTTAGCGCTGGCGTCTCGCAGACTGAGGAAGGAATACGCTTTTTTCGAAATGACTTTGCAAATAGAACATTACGACGCCAAGATGGAAGATTGTTCGCAGTGCCAAGTACCGAAAAAATGACGTAACTTCTTTGTTTCAATTTCTGTGACCATAGGTTGTATAGGATTATTTTAATTTCGAAGAATCCATGTAAAAGGGATAACCTCGACTTTTGTTTAATGACTTCATGACATTGATGCTTGACCAAGTTCAAAAATAAAATTGCATTTCGAAATTTTCAATGGAAACAATTGAAAATTAGTTGGATTCAGGATCAATGCATGTCTGAATTCAAATTTGTGTGTTTTTAGTTTTAAAATATTGCAGTTCTGAAGACACTCAAAGTGGGGCGTGTGTCTCACTGAGGGATACAATGTTTTCAAGAATTTTGACTCAAAAATCCTGGTGCAATATCTTACTTAAATGTGAGTGTTACAAGTACGCATTAGAAAATGCTGATCATGACTTGAAATTTGCGTTAGGGTGCGTTGTAACTTGAGTGCAGTAGTAGAACCACTGGATTACCTATCCATGCTTCAGGTTTTTAAGGATAAGGTTAAATTAGCATCTGTTCAAATGAAAGAAGGAAAATGAGGAATGTGAAATATTTTCCAGAGATCTTTGTTCTCATTAGGTGTAGACAACTGGAATGAGAACTGCCCCAATTTCGATTGAACTACTGGATCTGTTGGGATGTTTTCTCAGAAGTGGCGGATACTTTCAGGAAGTATCGACTATTCCATGAAGTTTTCTCATGACGCCTGTAATTTAATGTTAGAAAGATTGTCTGACATGTTTGATACATGACTGAAGGACAGAAAGTGAAGTCTGAGCTCTTCCGTACTCGTGATTAACCAAGATTTAAAAGTGGTTGTGTACAGAATTTGAGTGTTCATATTGCTAACAAGAGTTTTTAGCTGACAAAAAGAAGCATTTTGCAGCTGTGGTGTTTTGTGATTCATTGGCAATACTGTATTGAAAGGAATGATTGGGTGCAGATGTTGGGCAAATATTGTACGTATATTTTGGAGGTTTTTTTCACTAACATACTACAGTATGAAGAGATTTAGCTCATTTTTGCCATCCGCGCTTCTTCTGTGCTCAGAGGATTCTAAGAAGAAATTTCTATCTTTCTGGCTGTGGTACAAAGCTGGGATTTGAAATTTAGATGCGGTTCCCAAATTTCATGTGATGTGTGTGATCTTGATTGTAAGTGATTTCTTGGAACTGTTCTTCGGAAATGAATGCGTTTTCTGAAAATGGTTGTATTTTATTATATTCTGATGCATGGATATTCTTGAACACTGATGGAATGTGTTCCAGTAGATCATGTTGAGGGAGGACGGCGTGGTTAGTGAAGTACTGTACATTGATCCGTTCAATCCACCCAACTTTTCGGTCCCCCTACTCATACGTGTGCCTTGGCGCGCGCTTTTCCAGTGTTCGAATCGTTCGTGGGCAACCGTCAGTAAAAACCTGCCGTGGTCAAGTAATTTTCCACGAAGTCTCAGTAATTTTTATTCACGAATGGTGCACAGTAAGTCTGACTCAGAACTGGTTTTTGTGTTGGAGGTTCTCGTTCTCCATGGAACAAGTTCTTGAGTGCGCCATCGTCCGCACATCTTGTATTGACTTTCCATTCTGTTTCCGCACAACGGACGAAGTGGTTCTCGGAAATTACATCGTCGTTCGTGTGAAGGTCTTATTGAAATTGTAGCGCAGCGCGTTTTGTCCAGCGCCAGAATTCACGATGTCAAATTTGCCCCGAGTGACTTGCGTATTTCTTTCAGAAATTGAATTTCAGCTAAGTTCCTGTCCGTGATACGTGATTAAAAACGTCGAAAGTCGAAGTTTAAGCCGGTTTTTTTTCCAAGCTTTGAAGTTAGTTTTCATCGTACAGTTGTTGCTACCCTGTCCCTGTGACCATGTCTACTGCGGATCTTGTCGGAAACGATACAAACGGCGTACGTGGCATCGACGACGAGCGTCGGGCCAAGTTCAAAAATGCGGGGAAAACGAATGATGTACGTTATTTTGACCTGTGAGTTTGGGGCCGTGTTCTTGATTTTCAAGCTGTTCTTGTAGGAACTGCGCCGGAAACGAGTTGAAGAGAATCTCGAACTGAGGAAAATCAAGCGAGAAGATACTCTTATGAAACGGCGGAATGTAGACTTAGATGGTTTAGTTTCTTCACCCGAATCTCCACAGCGTGAGGTAAGTGTACATTTGATGTGCTTTACATGAACCTTTTCACTATGAGCACATACTTTCTAGCAAACTTCTGAGTTGACACCTGACGCCGAAGTCCAGCTATGCTCGAAGAATTTATTCGAAGGAGCGAGTGGACCGAAAATGTTCAATAGTCTTCAGCGTTTGCGGAAGCTCTTGAGCCGAGAAGCCAATCCTCCCATTGATATCGTTCTGAGAGCCGGTCTTTTGCCGAGACTCGTCGCCTTCTTATCATATGACGAGTTAGTTTCACACAAGGTTAAATTTTCACACGGAGGAAAACCGTATTCTTCATCTCTTGCAGTGAGAATGTGCAACTTGAAGCGGCGTGGGCTGTGACAAACATTGCGTCTGGATCATCGGAACACACGGCTGCCGTGATTCAGGCTGGAGCCGTACCCGTTTTATTGCAGTTATTCAACACGTCGCCTTCGATGCCTGTTGCTGAGCAAGCTCTTTGGGGCCTTGGGAACATCGTCGGAGATGGACCGGATAAGCGGGATTATCTGTTGAGCTTGGGGTTCACTACCGATATAATCTCGTGTATGAAATCGAAGCCGGATATACCGGTGAGATGCTGCAAGTAACGTAGATCCAGAGGAAAGGCTTTGTCGGTAACTGTAGGGTATAAGATGATGCAGGGTTGCCATATCTGTTAGTGTGGTATTAATGCACAGGTATTCCTAATATGACTTGGGTAAAGTATGGCACTGGATGTGCCGCTCAAGAATAATGTACAGTACAATATTTTTGACTTCTTACCACTATGACTTATAATACAATGCTGTACTGTATGGTGTAGTATAGTATTGTATTCTATTATGTTGAACTTTGGTTTTGTTGGCGACTAGGCTATTGAAATTATGTAGGTTTGCCATAGCTGTGGAGTGCGGTATTAATGAATTTACTGTATTCCTATTATGACTAGTTACGGGATTGATCTTCATTATCTTCTGCGCAGCTGAAGTCATTATTTTGGTCTAGTTATTCTTTGGGTATTTTATTAGGCTGGTGATTGATCCAACTAACGACGGTATTCATTTGAGTATCGTAGAGTAAAATTTACTCTGGAATTTTTGTCTTGAAATGTTAACGGAAACCTGTCCCCAGGTGAGATGCGCACTTCATTTTAGTGACTGAAAGTTGTAGTTCGAAAATGAAATGCCTCAGAATTTGAATTTTTGCTTGAATTTGAAAAAATGTTTCCATTCTTGGATTGTTTCTCCTGGAAAATGTTGGACACATTCGAGCGAAATATTGTGATGCACACGTAAAATTCGAAACTTTTCAACTACCCTCCTTTTTTTCCCCATTTAAAAGAAAAAGAAAACCTCTTCATGGTAAACATGTTAACATATTCAATATCTTCGACATGATGCAGGGCTTAGGGATGAGTATTGAGTAAGTAATTCATCAGAATGTTTCATGTTGATCGCACTTCTCTATTCGTTCGACAATTTTCTGTTGCGATTAACTATGATTTGCCCTAAAATATTTGAAAAAGTTTATTTTTTATTTCTAAATTTCCGGTTAGATTCTTACAGTTACACAGTATGACCAAAAAAATACGTTAAATTGATTTTATGCGGTTTCTGAATTGCTGTCGCAGCAACGAAGCGTTGAAAATTCTTTACAGACAGGACGTACAGTACAGTAATATATTGATACTCAAGTGGATTTTGGTTCATTGTTGGGATTACGTCTGAATCTTCCTGGACCTTTTGTTTTTTTTCATAGCCGTCGTTCGTCAAGAATTTGGCGTGGATTATTTCCAATTTGACGCGCGGACGAAGCCCGCCTCCAGACTATCAGACAGTCAAGAGATTCCTGCCTGTCCTGTCTTACATGCTGGACTACAACAATGTGGAAACCGTTGTTGATGCACTTTGGTCCTTGTCCTACTTGTCGGATGGCCCCAATGACCAAGTTCAAGGCGTTGTGGATGCTGGCATCGTGCCGAAGGTATACCGGTACTTCCGTTATCGTTAAGGAGTCGAATTTCGAGGGACCAGCGGAGCAATTCGGGAGGTTCCATGTAGAAATGTCATGATCAGAGGTCCAAAGAACTTCGGAGACTTCTGGGGTTAATTGAACCTCTCTTTTTTATCGACAACCCAACGACATAGGATAAAAATCAATTTAATTTCGTATGAAAGAAATTTGGTAGCCCTTTTGCATTCTCGAACTGTTTCGTTCGTATTGAGGAAATTACAACTTTTTCTCGATTAAAACAAAGTTCGAATGTGACAGGTTGACTCCGCACACTGAAATTCAGGGGACCAGAAAAAAAATCACTTTACAGAGAATTTCGTCTTGGAGAACCTCCATATTAAGGGTGGATCCTGTGAACTAAAGAATTTGTTATACTGAAAAAATCGTTGTGGAGAGGGAGTCCACTTGTATACATTAATGTATTGTTTTTCAGGTGGTGAGGATCATGAAAGTGGCCAATGATCCTCGTTTGATGACGCCGTGCGTTCGAGTCATTGGCAACGTGGTGACCGGAACTGACGAACAGACAGATGCCGCTCTGAAGGCTGGTGCTTTGGATGCCGTAGGTCATGCTTTGAACAGCACCAAGTCCACCCTGGTGAAGGAGGCGTGTTGGCTCATCTCCAACATTGCTGCTGGAACCCCCGAACAGCTCAAGAAGATCTTTGAAGCCAACGTCTTGCCTGTTGTCCGTGCTGTGAGTGTTTCCATTTCTATATTACTGTACTTATTCGTTGGACGTTCTTGGTCTGCTGTAACGTCAACAGTCGGACATTTAAGGTCCTGGGAAGTTAGCGAGAGGAAAGTAAGTCAAGGCTAATATTTGCCTACTAGTGGTTTTACACGTGTATGAAAGAACTGAAGGGATGCTAATATTCGCGTAAATAAGGTATTGACGAAGAAAGTTCCTCTCGAGATTTGTGCAGTAGATCTATGTGTAGGAGTCATTTTTAGCATTAGTGTTGATGTTCAAATTTGTCAAGTGTTTCAAGATTTTCTAACAATATACTGTTCTTTACTAATGTCGACCAACAGGTGATGCAACATGGAGAGTACAAGTGCCAGAAGGAAGCGACTTGGGTAATCGCCAACATTATGATGGGTGGAACACCGAAGATGCTAGAAGTCTTGATTAATGAGCACTACATTGAGCCATTTGTTGCCATGCTGAAGGGTACTGATGCAAAGTTGGTGGTCATGCTGCTGGATGCTCTTGCAACTGGTTTGCAGGTTTGTCATGCTGACTGTGCTAAAATTTGTTCTGAGAACATCATGTATTTTCTGGAGTTTTATTTTTTTTTAGGTGGCCGCGAGAAGTGGGTTTGATGAGAAGTTCAAGTTGATCGTTGAAGAGTGCGGAGGATTGGATACTCTGGAGTTGCTGCAGAATCATGAAAATGAAGATGTTTATAACAAGGCTCACCATATTCTGGAGAATTTCTTCTGTGTAAGTATCTTAATTTTTATCTCGAGAGTTTTGCGAAAACTGATGTATACTTTTGTCTTTCTATTGCTAATTTTAGGATGAAGGAGAAGATGCAGTAGAAATTGAAGGTGCTGCGGGTGATGGGAAATTTGATTTTTAACCGAAAGTTGCCGGAAATGTTGGAGATCTTTATTTCGAGCTATCAATTCTGCTCATTGAATTTTCAAGTGCTTTTCTTGCATGCATTCGCGACAAGTGAAGGGTACTGGATTGTGAAATTGTGTTTCGAATGATTTAAAAAAGAAAGATTCAGTGAATTAACCAATTGACTTTTTATTCGTTCACAACGCAACTGAGTTCAACAACTGGTTGCTAAATAGATTTACTAGACAATTTCACTCAGACCATATCACACTTCATGACTGGAGATTCATGAACAGATCATATGTTGAATCCCAGGGATCTCATGCAAGCTTTGTGCGCTTCTATCAAATGCTGACAATTCTCTTCACCTTCTTGCATAATGCTGAAATGAGACACAAGGGAAAAAAGATCAAACGTAACTATTTAACATCACCAAGTAAGGGGACTAGTTGAAATATATATTTCCTTATAATTGAAGCTATTTCATACTGAGTGTCATTAGATTGTAATAAACAATTTGTACTTTCTGTAGGCCACTAGATCTTATAAATACTTGAGGAACTGATCTAGTCCTACTATAGTTGCATGGAAACAAATAGATTACATCATGTGCACTGTAATTTCAAGATTTGAAGTTCTCTTTTTAGGAGATCTACACTCAACATCAGCAATACCAAATGCAATTGGACTGTCTCCATAAAAAATCTTGTTCACTAAAATTGTATCTGTACAACGAATTTACATTTGGAATTATGTTGTGGTTGAGTTCAATCGAATGAAATCCATATCAAGCTCTTACCATTCGTCTCGCACTTTCTTAGTCTCCGGGCAGGCACAACAAGGCTTCAGCTTTTTCTTCTCTTCCCCAGCACTTCCTTCCTTAATTGGACAACTTCCTGTTGATTTCACCCCTGGGTCTTCAACAGGCATTATCAGTTTCTCTGGTACTGCCTGCGGGGCTCCACCGCCACTCTGACCTGCTCCCATATTCTGTTCACTAGAACGTGTTGATCAGCTTCCCTGAATAAATTTCCTGCAAAAAAGAAAATGAGGAGACCATCCATCAATGTCGGCTTTCAAGAGTAAAAATGTCATTTCGAAAATGAAAATTAAAAAAACCAGTGACACTTTCTTGAAAAAAATGTGGCATTTTCACTTATTCATCCAAAAACAAACAGAAAACACTGAAACAAAAGATCCAAGCTTCAGTCAGCATTTAAAATATGCTGACTTTAGTCTTCTTTGACGCCGGTTCTTCAACCTCTCCTTCAGAGGACGACGCTTGGAAAATAGGCTTGGGTTGCGTTCTTGAAGAAAAAAAACATTTACAAACATTAAATTCAGTACAGTTTATTCCTTCATCAAATTGGGAGTCGTCAAATACTTACGCGGAATACGCAGGAGTGACCCAGTAGGGATTTTCTTCGCACTCTTTCGCATATTTAAGCAGAGCTTCTCGCGGGTCCTCGTTGTCAATTCTGTCCATTTTTCTGCTTTGAAGTCCCAGATTGCGAATGATGTAAGAAGAGAGTGTGCCACCACTTGCAACAACTCGTCCTCCAGTTCCTGCAAATTTTATTTCACTCGTCAGCGCATATAATTTCCAAAAAATTATATACTGTACAAGTGTACAGGATTTATTCACATTAAAAAATCAATCTCAAGACTAGCCTAAGAATTTAAAAAAGGTGGCTGACAAATCTAGCCGAAGCTCTTACTTGAGGAGGGCAAAAATTAAGAATAAAAAATTCAAATAATCCTGTCTACTCAACTTCAACTGAAAACTCACTTAGATTTTCTCTTCAGGCACAGTACTGAGAATACAAATTCTCCAACAAACTTAACAATACTACATTACTCGAAAAAGAAAACAAATGTTCTCGCCAGATGTGTTTCCACTTGAAAACGCAAATTTCCTGTTTTGAATTGAGATCATGTTTTCAATGTAACCCAAAATAGTAAAAAAAGCTTCTTTGAATACTGCATTTACTACAAAAAAATTAATACTGTGCGAATCTATGATCACTTCGAATTAAATTACACGAAAATGTCGCTACAACAATATTGTCACAACAAATTTTCCAGTGCTAGTGTGCAACAAACTTTTTCTCAAGTCTCGAAGAAAGAGATGGGTGCAACTCATGGAATGTATGGTAGAAGCTTTAAAAAAAAAAAGAGAATCACTCAATTTTTCAGGCAAAAATTAAATATCCAATACCAGAAAAGGAATACCTAATCGATTAAAAGCTGGTTCGATGTGAAAATATTTTCTAATCATTATTTTTTTAAATATCGTTATAATAAAATCTTCAGTACAATAAACTTTTACTGAAGCCTCCGAAAGTTTTTTGCCAAGAGATTTTACTGCAGAATATGCTCTCAAATTATTAGCATGTCGAAATAAATGCTTTAATTCGCATGAAAAAAAAAACCACATTAGCCAGCTCAGACAAACAAACCTTGCTTGGAAAGAGGTGGCTCAGGTTGTTTGCTCTTTTTCGGATCCTGACGCGCCTTTTCAATCTGAACCCTGGTCGATCTTTGTCTGGGTTCTTTGAACAAAGGCAGGGAATATGGCGTAATGACTTGCTGTGATGCCACAACTCCCAGCTGTTATCCGAAACGAGAAAAAAGAACAGGAGATTACATCAAAATAAATTCATCAAATAATCTCATTACAACTACAAACCGATCGATTCTTTTTCTTGGGCTTATTTTTGCACAGCAGTGCGCCATTGTGGCTCTTCCTGGGGTCGAAGTAAACCTTGGCTTCCCCACTGCTGAAGCCGATGATGATCTGATTTAATCTCGGATGCCACAACATCCTGTTGACATCCTGCAAAAAAAAAATAGAATAAAGATTTAAAAGAACAACGTCCAAACATAGAATTTTGATAAATGAATTACTAAATGACAAATAAATCGAGGGATTAAATGTTGTCTTGTCGTCTTGTCATTTTTCATAACGAAAAATAATCATAAGGGTCCAAAATGTTCCCAAGAAAAATACTGTTATTCATTCGTCATGATCTTATTATACTAAGGTCAAGAGTCGAATAAAAGTTCGCAGAAAATCACAATGAAAATGACTTCAAGACCAACATTACAAGTTCAAAAACTCGAAATGGTCGTCTCAGCTTGACTTGAACTCAAGAGATATACATAGTATCACATGTATTTTTACGAATTTCCTAGCTTCATTTGACAAATAATGAGTGAGTGAGACTCTTTTTCAAAATGTTTCTCAAATCAAAGCAAAACTGTGTTTGAACACTTCAAACTCCATAAATTGTGGTCTCCGTCGTCAAATTACGTCGCCAAGAAAAATACATTTCAATAAGGAAACGAATGAGATGAAAATTATAAATTTTCAATTATAATACGCTCTTCACTAAGATTTCACACTTACTGTGTCCTCCACAGCCTGTTCCGCCAACAGCTTCATCGTAGCTCTCTCGTAGAACACAACCTTCGCTTCTCCTTCACCCTTTGCTTTCGAAGTCCCAGTGAAAATCAGTCGGTCATCAGGACTAAACCCGCAATCCGTCCTGAAACAAAAAAAAAACCCACACACGTCACATCTGTGCTTCCTTCTAAATACAGTCTTTGCATAATGCCCAAATAAAAACTCACCCTTGGAACCTGTTGTACAGCCCATCCACACTGTGGACGCATTGCTTCGGCTTTCGGACATCCCAGAGTTTCAAAGTTCCGTCGCCACCTCTGGAAGCAATTTGCTGGCCATCGTAGGAATAAGCGACGCTCGATGTGTCTGTGTTGGGCTCGTGGGCATTTCTCACCACATGAGTAGCGTTCACCTGCATCAAAGATCAGAAAAATTATGCTAGGAAACTTCAAAATACAGTATTTCTGTTGCGAATGCCCGAACTCCACGATTTAATATCTCATTACATAATTGAGTCCTGAATTTTACTTGATTGAGTCGTGGAGAGTCTTTAAACAAACATGAATGGTTGGGATACATTATCAAGTGGACTATGTTTTAAGGTTTACTGAATTGAAGTTGGGAATGGATGAAACATTAAACAGTACATGAGGTGGACATCAAGCCCGTCCCTCCAACACTTACTCTTTGGAGTGACACCTATCTACTAACATTGGAACCAATGAGGAATAGGATCCCAATGAAACATTCTAGCCTTTTCCAAGAGATTTTCTTCAATTACATCAGTGCTGTCCAACTAAGATGTGGCCACGGGGCACATCAATTCATTTGTTGTGACCAAAGGCAACATTGCAGTTTTGGAGAGTTTTTGCAGGCCACAATAGACAATCATTTTTGAGGTTCCAAATTTCCACACTCAAATGAAAAATTTCAAATCAAATTAATTCCTATACATTGAATCATGAGCATAGCCTTGTAGAATTTCTGAAGGGTGAAGGACATTTTTGAATATTGGTAGCTGCCATCTTTGAAAATTATGGGACAGAGACCATGGAACACATGAAGAGTTTGTGGGCCAAATTTGTACAAAGGGCCTTTTGCTGCAACACTGACCTACATGATTCAAAAATGCGCTTAATCATACACCATATTTACTCAAGTACCAGACACAGATTTATTTTTTTCTCTAAACTGAGAGTGAAAAAAAGAGAGTGCGCGTAACAAGCAGCGATACAATTTTTAAAAAATGTTAGAATTTTAGGTTTCTCTCACACTTGAATATTATGGGAGATTTTTGACAGGAACGTTTAAAAAATAGAAAAATATTAATTGACTCACGTTTAAATTTGAATTCTAGTGTCTTCTCACTCTTGAAATGTTACAGTTTTAAGCCACTAAACGTAGGCTGCATGCCTTACTCCGGGATAGGATTTAATCAAAATTTCAGAGTGAAAAATGGGGGAGCCTGTCTTACTCGAGTAAATACACCTTTTTTGAGTTTCTAAAAATCAAGGAACGTTCCCTTTAGTGAAAGAAAAAGGTATGATACACACAAATGCCTTCCTGTAGTCCCAGAACTGAATGGAACCATCCTGGCATCCGCAACAAAACATGTTGCCGTCCCTGGCCACAGCCAAGGCAGTTGGGGCTGCTCTGAGACCATTTGAAGCCCTGGGCTTGGCCAGTCTGAAGTGTTCTTTGCTATCTGACGCTTTCCAAACCCTCACGGAACTGCGAGCAATCCAAAAAAGCATTAAAATGAGTTTCCGCCTGGCATAAAAGATAAAATGTGGTTAAATAGACAACAAACCCGTCGAGGGATGCGGTGAGAAATTCATCCCGATTTTTCGGATGCCAGCAACCGGTTGTTAGACCACCAATGTGCCCTTTCGTCTTGCTCACGTCTGAGATGAATTGATAGCCCTTGACGCATTCTAGTTGCTCGTGTCCATCTCTGTCCAGCACCTTCGCCTGATCATTGAAGAAAATTTGTCAGAATACCCGTTTTCCTAAAAAAAAAAAAAATATCGCTACCAAGAAGCCTTCAAAGAATGTCACACACCGCGAAAATACAAGTTAGTCAATTTCATTAAAATGGTAGCGTTCATCAAATTGTACCATCTCAAAAAATGAATAACTTTTAATCAAAGTTTGTTCCTGAATAATGATGTTTTTCACGGACTTCGCAAGAAAATTTCGGTCAAGAAATTTCCAAACCATAAATTTCCGAACTAAAAGATGAAAGTTCAAGGAACCGCACAATCATCGAAATTTGGCATCAATTAAAAGAAAAATATTCCTGCATTCAAATAAATCAAGCAGAGATCAAACAGACAATAATCCCGACTGTTTTAAAATTAAATTAATGAAAGAATATAAGACACGAATGCTGCAAGTTAAAAATCCATTACTGAATCAGAATTATTTTTCTCTTTTTTTTTTTTTTTGCTCATGACCAAGATCTGTCATACCTGAGCACTTCCCGAGATCACCAGAATTCGATCGCCCGTGTGCGAATACTGAAGATTCAGGATTGGATGCCTGGACAAGAAAAAGGAAAGCAAATCAACCATTAGTCAACATTTAAAAAATTCTCGTCGAATCGAAATGAACAACTCACGATTCGCACGGCTTCAGTGTTCGAAAGGGCAAAAACGCAGCATTCATGCCAGCAAAATCGAAAAGTCTAACTTCGTATTCCAAGCCACCAGTTGTCAACCTGGCTCCAGAATTATCCACCGCAATCGCAGACACGCCCTTAGTTCCATGCCTCAGGGTGATGTCTTCAGCCCAAGGAATCTTGTCACTTAGAAGCTGAAAAAAATTACCAGGATCAAATTAAGGCAGGATTAAATTAACACAACTATTGTCGAACTTCATGGGACCAGCAAAAATAATTTAAGTTGACAAAGCAAGCATTTGTCGCGGGAAAAGAAAGAAAAATTACAGAGAATTGTAATTGGTGATATTCTAGGCCTTAAATTGCTTCTTGAATGAGTTGACAGGATGCTAAACTTGGAGGCAAGGGTTCACTTGCCCGATTAGTTTTTCTTTTCCTTTTAAAACATATTAAGTTACACTTATATTGCTTTTTTATCCTTTGTCAATAAAGTAATACAGTAGACGGAAGACCTCCCGAAAATCTGATTTTGAAGGTTTAAAGGGAAAAGTATTCGAGTTAGGGAGATTTTTAGTACAGTACTTTGTTTCGTAGGGAATTCAGAAAGTTACCAGAAAAAAATTCCAACTTGGAGCAGCTTAAGTTATCAAAGGTTTAACTGTGTTTTAAATTCCGCATTAGCACCTCTTCTTCTTCTTCTTCCTCGTCATCGTCATCGTCGTCATCTTCATCGTCTTCGTTTTTTTTCTCAGGTTTCTTCGTGGATGATGTAGAAGCTTCGACAGTCGGGGCAGGAGGCATGGGTCCATAGGAATCTTCGTCATCACTGTCGTCTTTATCCCCATTTTCGTCAGTCAACGAAATATCAGCCAACTTTTTCTGAGACTCTTGAATCCCTGTCAAATAAAATCAACCAAGAATTAAAGAAAATCCCAATACGATGAGATAATAAAATACAGCTTGTCCAAAAAGTTACTTCGTAGTCTATCGGATAAATTTCCGACTTCGTCAATTAAAGTAAAAACAGCCTTTCAAAATTCAAAAATTCATCACACTCGTGAATACAATCGTTGCGTTTGAAGAAGCTACAGTAGCATTTAAAAATTGATCACTTTCTACGTGAATCTTGAAAAAATTTTTTTTTTAGCGAATCTTCATGATTCAAACGATTCCGCGCAAAAATTCGCCAACAAACTTCCCCCAAAAATGCTGATTTTGCCATTGTTCAAGCAAATTTTTGTAAATTACCCAAACACTGAAAGGATTCTCACCACTCGTCCCAGGTTCCAATTTTTTCAAGCCCTGAGCAGCTTTTCTAGCCTGCTCAAACACCTGATCGACATCAAAGGTCTTTGCCTTGCCAAAACCCGAAAACCCCATGACCTTGGCAATTTCTTCTGCAGCCGCTTTGTCTTCTTCTGGCTGCTCCTCTTCGTCCTCTTCTTCTTGGATCCAAGTTGAGTCAATTTCATCATCATTCTCAGTTTTCGTAGGTGCCCCGAAACTTCCGAAACCAATGGTATCAGGAGCGACACTTTTCACTTCCTCAGTCACCGAAGACGAAGAAGGCAGCGAAATTTTTCCGAAACTAATTGTTCGCTTTTGAGCTTTAGACATTTTTCCCTGAAGCGAGAAAGAAAATAAATATAACGTGAAAATAAGCAATAAAGAACAAATTCCCGACTGCCAAGAAAATCAACGTCTGTTCGCTCTCGTTTTTCTTTCTTTTTTTTTCATAGTAGAAAACAAATAGACAAAAACAATCCAGGAAGACATTATCCCAATCCACACCTGCTCTCAGATCTACAACAACCTGCTGAATACTTCCGTTTTCCCACAAAAAAAAATCATTTTAATAACGATTAACACTCCCCCAAACTAAACTTTTTTCGAAATCAACTTCCATTAAAAAAAATTCCAAAAAACTCTAAGTTGAGCTCAAAATTCACAGCTTAGTGTGAGGGAAAATAAAAAAGCAATTGTCGGGTTTTTTCATGGACGGTTATACAAAGCCATGTTCGACATCTGCATGGTTATGCGGCCAAAATCTGGCTGACTGTTGCGTTGATATGAGGCTGCACCAAGCCCACCTGGGACCTGAAATGTAAATGAAAAACGAGTCTCATTCCTTGCATGGATTTTCGATAACTATTGTATTGTATTTACTCAAGTACCACACACAGCATTTCCCCCAAGAAATTGAGGCAGAAAACTAGGGTACTTGCTGATACATTTTTCAAGGAAAAATTCCCAAAATCAGTGCCCTTCACACACATGTGAGTAAAGGGAGACCCTGAAGTATGGACACCCCAACATATGGATGATTTGACTCAGGGACACTTGGAAATGAAAAAAATCTAATAGCATCCAGACAGTGTCTCAGAAACAGACACTTCTCCAAAATTTTTTGAGGAATACAGTACAAAACTTTTATTTTTCTAAAGTTTTGTATTTCTTGAACAAATTTAGCTATAAAATTACCCTAAATCATCATCAAGAACAGGCTAATTTTGTGCTTCTCTTTTCAGTTTTTCTCATCATGTGTGCTCAGTTTAGCAAGACTTGTTCTCCTCAGATTTTTTGGGACTTTCTTCTATACATTTATTTTTTTTGCATCTTGAAACTGAGAAAAAATAATTTAATTCATTTTTAGGCACTCTTTCTTCACTTTTCATCTACAACTACAGAAGAACCAATTGAAAAGATTTGTAATGACGTTTTCGGAAAAACAAGTTCCAAAATACAGACGTTCTGACTTAGGAACAAGATCCATGCACCACTTATGTCAAAATCTTGGGATTGCACTGAACATCCAAGAAAAAAATGACAAGTAAATGTGCAACACCAAGTCTCCTTGTCCACAGATACTAGTGGTTCAAGCAATATAAATTTTAGGAATATGTCAGTTGAAGATGCAACAGGAAGGAGAGGGTACACATCTGATAAAGGAACCTGCCATAAACTGCAAACACATTTTAACTGCTACTGCAAACATTAAAAATCAGGAAAGATGAAATGGCAATTGGGGGAAGATAGATTCACACACACACAAAATATTTTCACAATTATTGATCTTCAGCAAAAAAAAAGAATTGTCACGCAGGTCTTCCACAAGAACAGGTTTTTTGACAAATTTCTAAAACAAAAATTCAGCTGCGTGTCATATTCAAAGACATGTGGTACTTGAGTAAACACAGTTTAGTAAATGCACCAACCTGGTGGAAATTTTCCATGGACGTGACAGCCTGAACAGCACCCTGCGCAGGACCTTGTTGGTAATAGTACCTGGCAACTTGCTGCACGTTTTCAGCATTTTGCTGGTGCAGTTGCTGTTGCAATTGTTGCTGTTGTTGTTGCTGCTGCTGTTGTTGTTGTTGAAGTTGTCCAGACACAAATACACCATTCTCATAAACTCTCTCTCTATATTTCTGTCTGAGAGCTGTTTCGTAATCTGGTGCTGGTCTGTAAGACGGGAGCAAATCAACTCTCCTCATCTGTTGTTGTGGCGGAGCAAACATGTAGCCCGGGTTGCCTGGATAAGCAACCAGACTGGTGGAAGCTCCATTCGCGTCATCCCCTGTCATCTGCATCTGT